TACAAAGTTTGTTCAAATAAAAGCCCGGGGGTCAAAACTGGCCCTGCCCCAGGGGTGTCATTGTTTTTAACTATATGTGTAAAGTAAAAACTTTAAAAATCTTCTTTTAAAAAACCCAATGAGCTAGAACTTAGATGTTTAGCATGAAACAACTTCTTATGGGTGTCTACCAAGTCTGTTCAAATAAACAAATAAAAGCCCTTGGGTAAAAATTGGCCCGGGGGGGGGGGGGGGCCTATATACAGGTGAGCGACCTCAGGGCCATCATGGCCCTCTTGTTTTAATTTAGCGCTTATCTATTTCTGATGACATTTATCACTTTGCTATTTTGCATGTCTGCACAGATAAAAGATAAAATCTAAGCCATATATCGATAGTGTTGGTATTTTAAATGCATTATAAATATACTACATGTAGATCAGCAGACCAGGGTTTAAGTTTGACTATAATTTATTATAAAGAGTTTTATAAGATAAGAATATACTACATGTAGCTCAGCAGATCAGGGATAGTTTTAGAATAATTTATTACAAAGAGTGATAAACTTATTTTGCAGACCTTGTAACCAACATTTATACCAATGCACTACCCATTGTATTTAAATTATGTCACTTTAATTGGGTCAAAATTGACCCATTTTACCCTGATAGTTTAGCTAAGATATTATGCTTGTAGTCCTGTTTAGTGGAACTCAACCTGAAATATTTAAGTCATACTCCTGTGGTCAAAAATGGCTCCACCCTAAAGGTGACTTAGTTTACCTAGACTTGAATATAAAAAATGTCTTAAAAATCTCCTTCTCTGAAAGATCATTGCCCAGAGCTTAGTTTTGCCCCTTTTTAGCTCGACTTTTTTTTTTTGAGAAAAAAGTAGAGGTATTGTAATAGTCGTAGCGGCATTGCTGTTGCCGTCCGCAAACTTGTACCTGGATCATAACTTTTTTATTTCTTGGTGTATTGTCTTCATACTTGGCCACAACAACCCTTGGGACAAGACCTTTCAGTAGACCACACTAACCTTGACCTTCATCCATAAATGACCTTGACCTTCAAGGTTAAAAGTCCAAATTTTGCTTGTTCATGCTGTTATTGGCTGTAACTTTTTTATTTTTGAATAGATTGTCTTCAAACTTGAACATAATAATCTTCAAGGATATCCCTTAAAAATAACCTGACAGACCTTGACCTTCACTCATAAATGGCCTTGACTTTGAAGGTCAAATTATTGAAATGTTCATGTTTTTGGCTATTATTGGCTGTTACTTTGTTATTTTTTAATGGATTGTCTTCAAACTTGAACATAATAATCTTTAAAGATAACCATTAAAAATAGCCCGACAGACCTTGACCTTCACTCATAAATGACCTTGACTTTGAAGGTCAAATTATTGAAATTTTCATGTTTTTGGCTATTATTGGCTGTAACTTTGTTATTTTTGAATGGATTGTCTTCAAACTTGAACATAATAATCTTCAAGGATAACCCTTGAAAATAACCGGACAGACCTTGACCTTCACTCATTAATGACCTTGACTTAGTTTTGGCTGTAACTGGCTGTTACTTTGCTATTATTGAAGGGATAAACTTCATATTATAACAGAACATACTTAAAGACACGAACATGTTGTTTATCGTGACTTCACCACGTGACTCCACCACGTGACTCCACCACATGACTCCACCACGTGACACCACCACGTGACTCACCACGTGACTCCACCATGTGACACCACCACATGACTCCACCACGGGACACCACCATGTGACTCCAACACGAGACTCCACCACATGATTCCACCACGTTAACTCCACCACGTGACACCACCACGTGACTCCACCACGTGACACCACCACGTGACTCCCCCCACGTGCCTCCACCATCTGACACCACCACATGACTTCCACGTGACACCACAACGTGACTTCACCACGTGACTTCACCATGTAAACACCACCGGTAGAGGTGACTTCGAATTGCGTGTCTCTATATATATATATAAATTAGTAAATTTATATATAATTATAAAATATATAGAAAAAATTAATGTGACAAGACAGAATGATTAATTTTATAAAAAGGAAACGTTAATATTTTGTTCAAACATTTCTTTGTTTGCTTTTAGAGAAAGTAAAAAGTCGAGAGTTGCCCCAGCCCGGCGGTGGCTCTTGTTATCTTAAGACTTTTCTCAAAATTACCTATTGGGTATGATTTAAAAAGTATGAAAGTTTTCCGTGAAATTTTGGATCACTTAATGTTTGTCTTGGCACAATCTGATTAAAATCAGCACTAAATAATGCTCCGCTTTTAGATCTGACCGTGACCAAATACAAAGTCATTTCTGGTGACCTTTCACAATGGCAATCATCGGCGAGCTTGCATAATTTTGAAAGCAATGTGGTTTCTAATTTTAACCCTGGGAAAACAAGTATTGAGGAGGTAATTGTCACGATTTGGATAACAAACATGGCATTGTACATATAGCCGACAGGTAAACTGGCAAAACAATCTTGCCCATTAAAAATTTGTTATTATTTCAATTTGATATGTTATAAATTACTTCAAATTTGTATATATTTTTTTATATTTTTTTTCACAAAAATCAACAATTTGTTTAACTTCTACAGTGTTTTGATACTAATCTTCTTATGCCTATGTTAAAACCAGTTTGATTGCATGGCTAAAAAAAGCTTTCTCACGAAATCAGAATTATAAAGAAAGTGAAACATAATTAGATAGTCATCATCAGATCTACATAAAAGAAATAAGTAGATCAGAACTTAAGTCAAATTGGTATTGGCAAGGCATAGTTGAAAGATAAGGGGCATTATTTAATATATATTAGAGTTATGCCCCTTTTTATCATAGAATTTTTGTCAAAATTGCTTATTATTATAGTAGGGTGATTTTAAAACTAGTACCAAAGCTTGAAATACTTGATTATAATGACTGATTATAATGACAAGGCACTTGAGGAGTGGAATGATTATTCACAATAAACTGCCTTACTGCAATTCAGAGCTGATGATACAATCTTGATTTGTGATGGCTGTATATACATGTATTTCGATTCATTGTCACTATTTTGAAGAAAATTATCTCCTTCTCATTATAAAAAAATGTTTTTGAAAACTTTTGTTTCTTTGGTTATACGTTCTCCTTACCCCATCAAAGTGCGTGTAATGTGTTGTTCAAAAATGGAAGACAAAGCACAAATTGTTGACAATGTTGTGTCATTAAAGTCAGATGTCTTTCATTGCAGCTGAATATTGTTTTTAAAGTATAGAAAAGTAATTGTTAACCTGTCTGAGTTATCAAATCGAAAAAAATTAAATAGAAAAGCAATAATCGAGAATACAGTCGAGAGAAAACTGAATTGTTGCACCCAGTACATTAGGCACAGAATGATGTAGACATAGACATCTAAGCCGGGGACCAATTCTTTTAGAAGTTATGCCCCTTTTAAAGTTAAATTTTTTAGCTCACCTGACCACGAAGTGGTCAAGGTGAGGTATAGTGATGGGGCTATGTCCGGCGTCCGTCGTCTACGTTGTGCGTCGTCAACAATTGGGTTGTTAACAGTCTAGCAGTCACAGTTTTGATTGGATCATCATCAAACTTTGTCAGAATGTTTGTCTCAATGAAATACAGATCGAGTTCGAAGATGGGTTATCTCGGGTCAAAAACTAGGTCACAGGAGCTAAAAATAGAAAAAGCTTGTGAACACTCTAGTGGCTGCAGTTTTCACCCAAATATTCTGGAAATTTGTCAGGAAGATTGTTTTAATAATATCTAGGTCTAGTTTGAAGATGGGACATCTCCGGTCAAAAACTAGGTCACAGGAGCTAAAAATAGAAAAAGCTTGTTAACACTAGTGGCTGCAGTTTTCATCCAAATATTCTGGAAATTTGTCAGGAAGGTTGTTTTGATGATATCTAGGTCAAGTTTGAAGATGGGTCATCTCCGGTCAAAAACTAGGTCACAGGAGCTAAAAATAGAAAAAGCTTGTTAACACTCTAGTGGCTGCAGTTTTCCTCGAAATATTCTGGAAATTTTAGTCCAGTCATTCTAGCTCAAAATAGAGCCAAACCTCAAACAAATTGCAACAGAAAATATTTTGAGTGTTTTGAAACCCCAGACCTATATTGTATAACAAATCAAATGTCTAGAAAAATCTAAATTGGAGAATGTTTTCAAAAATTGAGATCAAATATAGGGGTTTCATGCATTGTAGTTATTTTTTTAATTTTAACTCAATGTAATACACACATACAATTTTCCAATCAGTTTTATATATAATATGCATAAAAATATAGCTTAATCTATCCCTATAGTAACATAAAGTAATCAAAAAGTTGTTTTTGTTAAAAGAAACTACTTTTACCTTTCTAAAATTTATTAATTAACTTAAGTGGGTGGGGTAATATTATATTTTTACATTGCTGTAGATCAACAGTTTATTGAAAGCTCTATGTTATATGATATTGAAACAGAAAATACATAATGGTTTACGTACATGTGAAAATGTCAAGTTTCAACGTTTTATGAATTTAATTTACCAGCATTCCATCAATATTTAATGCATAATTGAAATATTTATATTAACATTTGTACAGCTAATGGGTGGGGTAATTTTATACAAAATAGAGAAACATTAAGGAAATCGATATCATCTTATATAAAATATTGAGTTTTTTATTAACTTGAATACTTTCAAGCACATCTTTGTATTTTTTCTGAGTCAAATTATATAACATCGTGACATTGGGTCAAAAGATGTGAACATTGACCTTTTGGAAGGCCAATTTCAAAATATTTGATACATTTGAGCATAAAATGTAAAAAAAATATTTGCAAATTTTAATTTGTAAAAAAGCTTCGCTAAGCATAAGCACAAGAATGTCATGACTTACAAAGCGTCACTAGCTTCTGTAATTTCTGGTCGACCAATCTTTCACTTTTAATCACTAGATGGTAGCACCTAAAATTCTTCTGGTATATCTTGCCTTTAACTGTCTTTGTATGATCATCAAACAGCCGTTAACAAATCCGACAGGAGTTCATCTTGAAAAAAAAAACAATAACTGATATTGTAAGATTTATAAAATCTGTTTTTTATATGCCCGAAAGGGCATATTATGTTATACCCCCTGGCGTCTGTCCGTCCGTCCGGCCGCACTACCGAAAAGGGATAGGGGGCCATCTAACTGTAAACAGAACAAAAGAGAACAATAGAGTTCATTCCGTAACAATAGAGTAAGGGGCCATTGGCCCTCTATTAAACAATAGAAAATAACAAAAGAAATGGCCCCTTATTCCATTTCGGCCGTCCGTCCGTCCGTCTGTTAGCAATTTGGTTTCCGGAGCATAATTTAAGTTCCATTTGACCCACAATGTTCAAACTTCATAGGATGATTGTCCATATTGGATAGAAGATCCCTATTGATTTTGGGTCAAAAGGTCAAAGGTCAAGGTCACTATTACCTTGATACTGAAAACAGTTTCCGTCCGTTAGCAATTTGTCCGTTAGCAATTTGAGTTTCCGGAGCATAACTTAAGTTCCATTTGGCCCACAATGTTCAAAACTTCATAGGATGATTGTCCATATTGGGTAGAAGACCCCTATTGATTTTGGGGTCAAAAGGTCAAAAGGTCAAGGTCCACTATTACCTTATACTGAAAACAGTTTCCGGAGCATAACTTAAGTTCCCATTTGACCCACAATGTTCAAACTTCACAGAATTGATTGTCCATATTGGGTAGAAGACCCTATTGATTTTGGGGTCAAAAGGTCAAAGGTCAAGGTCACTATTACCCTTGATACTGAAAACAGTTTTCCGTCCATTAGCAAATTTTGTTGTTAGCAATTTGGTTTCCGGAGCATAACTTAAGTTCCATTTGGCCCACAATGTTTAAATTTCATAGGATGATTGTCCATATTGGGTAGAAGACCCCTAATGATTTTGGGGTCAAAAGGTCAAGGGTCAAGGTCATTATTACCTTAAAACTGAAAACAGTTTCCGTCCGTTACCAATTTGTCTGTTAGCAATTTGGTTTCCGGAGCATAACTTAAGTTCCATTTGGGCCACAATGTTCAAACTTCATAGGATGATTGTCCATATTGGGTAGAAGATCCCTATTGATTTTGGGGTCAAAAAGTCAAAGGTCAAGGTCACTATTACCTTAAAACTGAAAACAGTTTCCAGAGTATAACTTAAGTTCCATTTGACCCACAATGTTCAAACTTCATAGGGTGATTGTCCATATTAGGTTGAAGACCCCTATTGATTTTGGGGTCAAAAGGTCAAGGTCACTTTTACCTTGATACTGAAAACGGTTTCAGTTTGTTAGCAATTTGTCCGTTAACAATTTGGTTTCCGGAGCATAACTTAAGTTCCATTTGGCCAACAATGTTCAAACTTCATAGGATGATTGTCCATATTGGGTAGAAGACCCCTATTGATTTTGGGGTCAAAAGGTCAAAGGTTAAGGTCACTTTTACCTTGATACTGAAAACAGTTTCTGTAGCATAACTTAAGTTCCGTTTGACCCACAATGTTCAAACTTCATAGGATGATTGTCCATATTAGGTTGAAGACCCCTATTGATTTTGGGGTCACAAGGTCAAAGGTCAAGGTCACTGTTACCTTGATACTGAAAACAGTTTCCGGAGCATAACTTAAGTTCCATTTGGCCCACAATATTCAAACTTCATAGGATGATTGTCCATATTGGGTAGAAGACCCCTATTGATTTTGGGGTCAAAAGGTCAAGGTCACTATCACCTTAAAATCAAAAACAGTTTCCGGAGCATAACTAAAGTTCAATTTGGCCCACAATATTCAAACTCCTTAGGATGATTGTCCATATAAGGTAGAAGACCCCTATTGATTTTAGGATCACAAGGTCAAAGGTTAAGGTCATTATAAATAACTTAAGTATTAATCAACCTACATCTGTAAAATTTTATAGGATGAACAGCTAATTCCCATGTCTTACAAATGCTTCATCCTTACTAAAAAAAACACTTTCGGGCATATAATGCTCCGCCTAGCGGTGCTCTTGTTTTACATTATATGGAGGTTGATCCAGAATTACCCAAAATATGTTTATAATTCTGATAACTTTTTATGTTTTCTTCATTAAATTTATAAATGCGCAAAGATCGATGTTTCTTCTATTTAATTGCCAAATATAATTGATTATAAACATCCACTACCGTCTCAGGCTGCCTTAAAAAACCCTGGATACGCCACAGCAGCGCAACTCAAAGAAGACCTTCGTTGAAATTTATAATACACCAAAGTGCCCGAGACAAAAAGGGATCATGTCTAATATTTGCCGAAGGTTAATGTAAAGCCTGCTAAAATTTCATGTCGTTTGAACATTGTATTATAATAATTGTGTAATCATTTGTAATTGCAACGTTTGTTTATGCAAAAACGTCTTCATTAAGGCTTGGAAAACGGCACTTTCATAAACATTTGTCAACTGTTTAGACAGCCTACCATAGAAACATCTAATATGATGTAAGAAATTCGACACAAGTATTTTGTTAGTCATGGCAAGCCTCGTTACCGCCCATTTGGCGGGTCACCTCGGGACGGATATTCCTATCAGAACCGCAACATATGACAGATATTATTATTATTTTCTAAGGTTTTAATCTAAAATTATCAATATAAAATACCTACTGGTTAAAGTGTTTGGAAGTAACGTAAAGATAAAGTCACATATTGAGTTTTTGAAAATGTGACATTTCAATTTTAAGCATTTCTAATGCCCATCCGTGCATGCATTCAAAAATATTTGTACTGATATGTTACTATATGGAACTTATGACACACTTTAAAAATGATGAAAAATATCATTAACCCTTTCCCCCATGAGCATATCGTGAAAAATGGCCATTTTAACTGAAAAGCCTCCTCTTACAAGTTCAAACTGCTATGAAACTATGAAAAATGCTTCAATACTAATCAAACTTGGCACAAATGTTGACTGGACCATTGCCTTTGTAACGACATGCTCAGTCTTAAATTTCCTGTTACCATGGCAACGAGGGGACATCTCAAAATTGCCAAAAATCACTATTTTGCCTCGATTTTTTTCCATCAAAATTTATTTCAAAGTGTTGCAACTTCTCAATGGATTGAGATAGAGTCAAAGGCTTTTCAGTGTTGGTTACACGTTACTTTATGATCAACCTGGGGTCATTTTAAGCCTCTCACAAGTCCAAAATTTTCTTGGCGATGAGGGGGACTCCGCCCCCCTTCAAACCCCCCAAACAGAAGGGGGCACATCCCCCTTCTGGCAACCCCCTGATGTATTATTTGGATGGGGGACGGCGCCGAAAAAATGGTCACTTTTTTAACAACATTTCTCAAACGAAAAACAGTGTTTTGGGTCTAAATAGGACATTTTTTCACTGTTTGAGGCCTCAAAAGGGGGGGGGGGGCAAAAAGCCGTCGAAACACGCTTATATTAGGGAAAAGGTTAAAGTGATTTTCGATTTTGTGAAACAAATGTCTCAACTAAATATATGCATCTTTACCTTTAACTCGTATACATCACAGTGTCCTCAAAACACTTTCAAGATCGGGCATACTCATTGGCTCTTGTGTGTTGATGAAATCTGTAACATAGAAATTACTTCAAGTTTGAAAGGATTAGAATCTTATTTTCATATTTATGTGAAACAAGGTTCTATAGAATACACAGATGTTTTTATTGTTACATGTATTTGCTTAAATTTTGATTTTAAATGTGATAAAATTATACTATAGTCATCTTAGGTGTGCATTCCGAAAGAAATACTAATATATCGCTGTGAATTAATCTTATACACGTAATGCACTTTTTCAAATTCGCACAGGTGCTATTGTATGCATAAAAGATTTTCTTTTAAATTATGGATCAACTGTGCATGTTCACCTTGAACTCATACACATCGCCAATCATGAACCATAACTAGAAATTACTTTGTTTATTAATAAATTTTTCATGTCACCTTATCATGTATAAATTTCTTCTATGTCTATTAAAAACTGAAAATAATTTCAGATATATTGAATTATGCATATGACGCTCTATTTCCTCCATGTTTGATATTCACTTACTTAAACCAGTAAAAGATAATGTTTGATATTTGTGTAACATATGTAAAAATATTACAAATGTAAGCACAGGAAAGCAAACTTACTCATTTAGTGTACATATAGTTTACTGGATTTTTTTTTTTTTTTCAAAATCAAGCATACATCAATGAAGACTACCTCAAAGCAGTACCCCTGAAATAATAATAACATTACATACATTATATATGTAAAGCAATTTTAAATAAGGTTTCCTTTTAAAAGGAAAGGCTTGCTCAGTTGTGCCATCATCCCTTCCCTTTAAAGTTGGTTTTTTTGGTTTCAATTTATTATCACAATCTTTTTTAATTACGTATTTGCATATCATAAAGGGTTTATTTAGTTTGTTTTTTTCTCGAAAAAATAAAAGTTTCGCTTTTAAAGGGATATGCAGGTTTTTTTCGTTTTTGCAGTTGCTAATTTCATTTATATAGCAGCTTTAGAGACAAGTAAATGCACTAAAAGAATTTGTTACGTGGTACCAATTAATAAACATGTATCAACTATGTTACACCTAAAATATTCTATGATCGACAACACAGGGGATCAGCATGGCAAGGTTAATGGTATGCATGGGCTATTTTTAGATTACCTCACCGAGACGTTTAAACGTCAGTAGATCTAAATATAACTTGATCATGCACTAATATTATGCGTGGTTCAGTCACTATCTTTTGATAAGCAGGACCGCCCTTTGGAGACGGAATACTACTACAGTAACCATTCTCTATTGTATAAAACTAATAAAGAAAAAAAAACAATTATAAAAGAAACTAACTTTTGCGTCTTGAAAAAGAATTGAAACGGAATCAAGTAAAAATAGAAATCCTATTTATATAAACAAACTGGGATTACCGAAGTAACTAAAATAGCTTACGCCCGAATTGTCACGATTGCAATCGAAACTACATCAGCTATTATCATTAATCCGAAGAGTGACGGAAAGGACCGAAAAGTTGCGATTGACACGATTGCAGCTGGTTTCCCGTTCAACCATGCACTAACAAATGTAAGCAGGAAACCACCTAACCGGAACAAGTTTTCCAAAACAAATGTCTTGCAGCCGTGGTTGCAAGCCAAAAACTATTGAAAAATACAAAAAAACAACCTTGAATACACATTTAACAATAAAACATGATTAAAGTATTCAGAATTTATTTAACGTAATTCGTCATAATTAAAGTGATAATGGCGTTCCATAGTTTAAAAATACTGTTGAAATCAACTTGTTTTAAATACACATTTTTAGGCCGTTTTTGAATGTTTACTTAGACAGGAGTTAATCAGAGTTGTAATTGATATAAATTAAACTGTTTTCCATGAAAAGTATAATACAGATCGCTTGAAACACCTGTTGACCTTCAACGGATAAAGAACTGGTAAAACAAGTAATAATTTTCAACAAATACTCATAATAAACTTACGACCCCACATTAATAATTCCTATAATGATCTGTAATATTTTAAGGAAAATATACCAACCCACTTTACAGTGTACTTTACTTACATTTATTTTGTTTAAACTAATTTTGTTGTTGTTGTCGCCATTATGCAGTTGCTATTCTGAGTATCGGAGACACTGTGTTCGCCTATGGAAGACCGTTGTCGTCAGAAAAAATCACAAAAAATAACGCGATAAAAACCCGTTTTTTTTCTATGTTGCGCAACATAGATTTGCTAGACTTTTGATATGATTCATGTTATTCCATATACTTTCTATACCAGGTAAAATATTTTCTGTTGCAATTTGTTTGAGGTCGATTTACAGACTGACTGGACTATTGTCAGGGAGGTTGTTTTGATAATTTCTAGGTCAAGTTTGAAGATTGGTCATCTCCGGTCAAAAACTAGGTCACAGGAGCTAAAAATAGAAAAAAGCTTGTTAACACTCTAGAGGCTGCAGTTTTCATCCAAATATTCTGGAACTTTGTCAGGAAGGTTGTTCTGATGATATCTAGGTCAAGTTTGAAGATGGGCCATGTCTGGTCAAAAACTAGGTCACAGGAGCTAAAAATAGAAAAAGCTTGTTAATACTCTAGTGGCTGCAGTATTGATCCAAATATTCTGGAAATTTGTCAGGAAGGTTGTTTTGATTATATCTAGGTCAAGTTCGAAGATGGGTCATCTCCGATCAAAAACTAGGTCACAGGAGCTAAAAATAGAAAAAGGTTGTTAACACTCTAGGGGCTGCAGTTTTCATCCAAATATTCTGGAAATTTGTCAGGAAGGTTGTTTTGATTATATCTAAGTTAAGTTTGAAGATGGGTTATCTCTGGTCAAAAAGTAGGTCACAGGAGCCAAAAAAAAAAAAAAAAGCTTGTTAACACTCTAGTGGCTGCAGTTTTCATCCAAATATTCTGGAAATTTGTCAGGAAGGTTGTTTTGATTATATCTAGGTCAAGTTCGAAGATGAGTCATCTCCGGTCAAAAACTAGGTCACAGGAGCTAAAAATAGAAAAAGCTTGTTAACACTCTAGTGGCTGCAGTTTTCATCTAAATATTCTGGAAATTTGTCAAGAAGGTTGTTTTGATGATATCTAAGTCAAGTTCGAAGATGAGTCATCTCCGATCAAAAACTAGGTCACAGGAGCTAAAAATAGAAAAAGCTTGTTAACACTCTAGTGGCTGCAGTTTTCATCCAAATATTCTGGAAATTTGTCAGGAAAATTGTTTTGATGATTTCTAGGTCAAGTTTGAAGATGGGTTATCTCCGGTCAAAAACTAGGTCACAGGAGCTAAAAATAGAAAAAGCTTGTAAACACTCTAGTGGCTGAAGTAGTGATTCAAATATTCTGGAAATTTGTCAGGAAGGTTGTTTTGATGATTTTTGGGTCAAGATCAAAGATGGGTCATCTCAGGTAAAAAACTAGGTCACAGGAGCTAAAAATAGAAAAAGCTTGTTTACACTGTAGTGGCTGCAGTTTTGATTCAAATATTCTGGAAATTTGTCAGGAAGGTTGTTTTGATGATTTCTGGGTCAAGTGCTAAGATTGGTCATGTCCGGTCAAAAACTAGGTCACAGGAGCTAAAAATAGGAAAAGCTTTTTAACACAAGTGGCTGCAGTTTTGATCCAAATTTCCTGGAAATCGGTCAGGAAGATTGTTTTGATGATTTCTAGGTCAAGTTTGAATATGGGTTGTGTCCGGTCAAAAATTAGGTCACATTGCCCAAATATGGAAAAATCTTTATAACACACTGGAGGTCACATGTTTGACTCAGTTGTCATCAAACTTGGCCATGATGCTTGTTTAAGACATAATTTGCTTGGATGCAGTTGTGTCAGGTGAGCGATCCAGGGCCATCATGGCCCTCTTGTTTTGACAATTGGTTATTGATAGTGATTTGCCCTTGACCCTTTACAGACGAGCGTAAACACAACATGCAGTGGACCTGTTTCTTCTTCCCATGTTGAAAATTTTTGTTGCTTCGACGACAAATAGACTTAGAATATTTCATAATTATCAATATGGTAAATTGACCCATTATTAGGGACGGTACTGATATACTTCTCGTAAGAACTTCAACACATCGGGACTTCGACTCATGAAACCGTCTCAATTTAATTGACAAAATTTGGAGCTGTTGACTTACAGAAGGTGTAACATAAGAAATGGGCGGATGAACTCAACCAACTAACTTTATAATAGTAAATATATCCTGGGTGATTTATAATGATTTATCATGCCATCGGAAGTTGTTGGGACTGTTTATTTTCAAATACAGCAATAGACTTACTCTGGATTTCAGAATATTTTGGGTTTTCACAAGCTTATAAAGAACATATAGAGATAAAAATTGGGACTTTCATTTTAATACGACACATTGAGAAAATTTGACCAATCAAAAAATGACTCATAGAAGACTGTACATGTATAATATGTGTTTTAATATTCAGTTTATCAATATATATATATATAGCACAGTTTTACAATTTAGAATTACCGTAACACTTTACATACAATATCATTTTCACAAGTTTATATAGACATAATGAATTAAATTTAAACAAAGGAAAGAAAAACAAACTGTTATCTATTTGAATATGTTATGTGTATGTTCTATCACAATGTTCTATCAAAATGTTAAATTGTTCAATCCTCAAAGTCAGATTTCACACCAATAAAATATAATTAGCATTTCACAATATATATAACATAATCATGCATATTCATTTTGTTATTTAGCAGAATTGCATAAATTAATCATCATCAGTTTCTGGAAGGTTGTATTATTTATTTATTTATTCCAGTCTCATCTATATACAATATAATATAAAATACATGTATATAGCCATTCTATAAGAATTATAAGAGACTAAACATCTAAAACACTATAGCATACATAGTAAAACCAATATTAAGATTAAACATTACCATTGTTAGACAGCTGTTAAAATATTAGAATTATGTTTGTTTAAATGATAGCCAAATATCACCCACTGTGCACCTCTATGTGCTGAAGAACTTCCCTGCATTTCAATTTAATTGTGCCTAAAATGTTGGAAAAGGGTCTGAAATTTCAAAATGATTTTTCCACAGCTTTACAATGTTTCGCATATAAAATTATAATATCCTTTTGCAAGTAATATATGAAATGAACCCAGTTGTACAAATTCAATATAACAAATACCATACATGTGCATTGAGTACATCTCCAAAATAGAAGTATATTGATATTAAATTGCTTTGTTCAGATTGGTTGATAACCTGTCGCTTCTTTTGTTAAAAATTTGAATTGTAACTAATAGAATCAATTACGTGTGAATTGTTTCCAACAAAGCAGGCAATTAATTTAATGCTAACTTGTTATGATTGAAACATTTATTGTACTTTAATATTAATGCATGTAGTATTGTTTTGTCAGTTAACAATTAGTAGCTATTTCAAATCTAGATAAAATTATAGATCACTAGCATGTTATATTTATATTATAGATTCTATTATTATTATTTTTTTTGCATTTAATAAATGATTGTTTAAATTCAAACAAAACAAAATTCTCAATAAAAACAAAATATTGCTATCTCCAGTTAAATATGTAATATTCAACAATATTAGTAATAATGTTATAATAGTAATCAAAATGTAATCAATGATAACAGCAAAATTTAGCATGGTAATTCATTAAGTTACAATTACATGTGATCAAAAATGACTTCAATTACTTGAAAACATTTTTTTTATATGATTACAATTACTGATTACGATTACACCATACCTGTTTGACAGACTTTACATGTGTATAATTATGAAATGTTAAAAAATAAAAAAACATTGTACAGCAGTGTTCATACTAGAATGCAAGGAGTCCAGGACTGCAGGACGGTCAATTTTGTAACAAATCTAGATAATCAGGAGGTGGAGGTGCCGGACGTGCTGGAAGTTGTCTTGGAGAGACACTGGTATCTAAATTCTGGCTTATTTCATTCAATCTAGCTCTCCGTTCACGGTCAGCACTTTCATTATCACAAGGATATCTGTTTATAATTCTACCTGCATCGCTTATTGGTGCTTGGACAGGTGGTTGATTAAATCTCCATCTATCAGTTATTAGTCCTGAAACTGATCCTTGTCTCGAATACTCTGTTCCCATTCTTGTTCAGATTGTAAATAATGCTCCAAAGAATTTTAAAAACTTTATTAAAAACTTAAACACCTTTTACAGATCTTATTAAATTTAGCGAATTATCACTTTATCTATATTGTTGAGTCTTTTCTGCCACTGAAATACTGAATTTCTTTAAAGCCTCGGGCTTGTTCTGTAGCTTGAAAGTTTAAATTGTTTATGTTTTCTAAATAACAAAAATTCAATAAATTCAAATGTTAATGGCACTTTATATTTCCCTTCATTCAAAATCCCTGTTGGTGTTCTTTTTTGTACATTGTATATATTTTTCATTTACAAATGTATATACTGTTGATATTTAGTTCACATAATCATCAAGTATTGAAATCTTTTCGACAGACTCAGAAGAAATGACATAATACAATGTAATTGTTACCAAATACAATTTGGTTGGTTTACTTGCACCATGACTACACCAAGGTCAATATTAACAAAAGGCTGTAAAAATCAATTTAATATAATGCATGTTGGTGCACGATAATAGTCAAAAGACATTTGATAGAATTTAACAATTAAAAGAATAAACAAATGGTTGAATACAACAGCCGTTACAGAATGTATGTTTGACAGAAAAGAATATAATGTTGAATTTTGTCGAACTGTTTCGAAAACACTTCAAAAATAAAAGAATATACAAATGTAATTTGCTGTTCAATGGAAATAGAAAGTAGACAGTTAATTTGGGTGAACTTGATTATTTATTCTACTTCATTCTTATATATAATCAAATCGATGTTCAGTGTTTGTTATTTTCAGTGTTTGATATTCAGTGTCATGATTGTGTGCAGATGATTCCTTTAATGTCCTGTCACCCCTTGTAAGATCTATTTTTACGCCACTTTTGCCTTTACTGTATATTATAAATTGTTGTAAAGTTTTGCTTAAGCCTCTAGAGCTTGTAAAAAAACTTGGGTATCTTTTCACTTGAGCTTGTAAAAAACTTGGTATCTTTTCTGTTTTTCTGCTCTTTTTATTTAATAGCAAGCATATATTGATAACATTACAGTGAATTGTCATACTTACCTTAGAAATAGTGCATAATAACTGTGATTAGTTTTTAAATGCTCAAACTGAGGGAATATGTTCTACAGTATAGACTATATAAATCAAGTAGAGTAGCAATTGAACATAACAAAAAGAGTATAATGAGACACAATGTCAAAATAAAATGCACACCATTATTCAGTCAAGTGTCACTGGTTTAAATATTTTTGGATGGTCACTTTATCATTTGTCCATGCTATCATGGATATGCCCCTTATTTTAATAGACATCCGAAACTCAGCAAATGTTGGTTTTTCCCAGCTTATCAGTATGTAGGTACAAATAAACTTTTACCGTTATGGCTTCAGGGTGCAATACCCGTCACAATATATTATTCAACCTATTTTGCTTATTTTCAACGCTGTAACTGTAAAAGTTTGTTTGTACCTATGGATTAGCTTGGAAAAACCCAAATATTCTTAACTACTGTCCAACATTCTTGATCTCTGGTCCTTATAATCATCAATTAGCTTCTTTATCAGAAGAAGGACTGGAGTCTAAGTAAAGTGTATCATCATACAAGTTCTATGTTCAGCTGAATACATTGTATTACTTTGACAATTAGTTGAAAGTATTGAAGGTGCATGAAAAGAGAGTAATTCTTTAGGTTGTAAAAAGATTTAGGTGATAAACAGTATGCTTTTGCATAAGAATTATCATAATACCCCTATTTGTCAATATAAATGTAAACAGGTTAAATCAGGTAATGAAAGGAAAAGCGAATTTGAACTATAACCTGCGCTTGTTATTGCCAAACAGGATACACATTGAATTGTATAGGTTTGTAAGACATTGTACCAGGATTTTGTTTATCCACTGTGATTTACATTGTCCTTTATTTGAATGCAATAAATGGTAGGTTCCCATACAGCAATAAAAGACTGATATAATCATTATTGGATTGTTTGTTTAATAATTATATTGATTTGTATCTCATGAAAAGAACATACCAGGTTTATATCTGATAACATTCAAGTCAAGGATTCATAATATATATTTTATAAAACATGCGAAAATATTTGAATCTTGTTTTTAAGTTCACCTGAGTACAAACTGCTCAAAGTAGAATTTGTCCTTCATTTGTCAGTGCATGCATACTTCTGTTGCCAACTCTTTTTCCAAATGGCTTCTCTTCAGAAATCAGCAGGGTCAAATTTGATGAATTTTTCCTGGGATGTTCCTAGCATAAAGCTCTACTTAAATTGTTCAAATGGTTCTGCTCCATTGAATATCTGTGTCAGAAGGGCTAAAAATAGATTTTGAAAATTAAATCTTCAAAAATCTTCTTATCTAAAAGTCTTAGATATTTTGTGTGTAGCATCATCTAATGTAACGCTATAAACATTATTAGAATAATAGTTGTGGGGTCGAAATTGGCGTGGCCACAAAGTGGTCAAGGTGAGGTATAGTGATGGGGCTATGCCCCTTGTCCATCAACGTGAGTTGTGGTTGTCAACATTTAGGTTGTTAACACTCTAGCAGTCAAAGCCTTGTTTGGATCAAAATCAAAGTTTGTCTCAATGAAATACAGGTCAACTTCGAATATGGGCCATCTTGGGTTAAAAATTAGGTCACAGGAGCTAAAAATAGAAAAATCTTGTTAACTCTCAAATGGCTACTATTTTGATGCAAATATCCTGGAAATTTGTGAGGAATTAGTAGTTTTGATGATTTCTAGGTCAGGTGAAAATATGGGTCACTTGGGATCAAAAACTAGGTCACACAGCCCAAATACTGAAAAACTTTGTTAACTCACTAGAGGCTACTGTTTTGTTCCAAATATCCTGGAAATTGGTCAGAAAGGTTGTTTTGGTGATTTCTAGGTCAAGTTTAAATAAGGGTCACCTGTTGTCAAAAACTAAGTCTGACAGCACAAATATGGAGAAACCTTATATATAAGGTCCATCATGGTCCTCTTGTTTTTTATGCTCCCCAAAGGGAGAGCATATAGTGGCCACCTTGTCCATCTGTCTGTCCATCTCTCTGTCCGTCCGTTGTGATGTCCGGAGCATAACTTAAAAACCCTTGGAGATAATTTATTTATCTTACTTTATTGTTTTTTGTGCGTTAATCTTTCTGATAAATCGATAATTGTCTTAAATTTGTGAATAAGAATAAATCGGCATGTATTAATTGGCGCATTATGAAAGCATGGGAAGTGTCTATATTTGGTCTGAAAATATTTATTCCTTAGAAATTAGGCTCCATGTGATATTTACTGCGTTATAGTTAAATTTTGATTAAGAATGGTTTAAACCTTATCTAAAATTTTACCTCCCGTTAAAAAGACAAATGGTCAGTTGAGTCAGATAAAATGAGCAAAAGACAATCAAATTATGAATTTATTTCAAAAGTAAACATCTATATAGATTTACAGTAAAGAACAACAAAAAAAATGTTGACATAGTAATAAAAGTATTTTGAATTGTTGATTATTCCAAGCATAATTATTAGAGTAGTATAGCTTTGACGCAATCAATTTCCGATACGTATTATGTCAAAGTGGAATATTGGAACATATTTTGCAAAAAAGAATATTCGAATATATTTGAATATGGAAAATTGTCTTATTTTTTCCCAGCCCTACAATAATTTCTATTACACTGAAACTTCCCATGTGGATACACATTGATGAGTTCTACCTGTAACACTGATTTTGAGGTCAAAAGATAATAGGTTAAGTCATATTTTCTAGGTAGTTTACAAAATGCCAGGGCTTCAAGCCATCTGCACAAGAGGCCTACTTCATCATCATTTCTGGTCTTATTGGATTCAATAGATTTTATCATAAATTGTATGCTTTTTACAGTTGCAGCAGATTGTGATGTTACAAGCTGATACAGAGGAAACTATCCCTGAAAACAGTCTTCGCACCATGATTTCAGCAATAAGGTACACACTGTATGATATGTTTTTTCCTTAAGCTTTAAGTTGTATTGATATATCATAGTCTTGCAATCAATGCTAAGGGGCGTCCGTGGGCGAGTGGTTAAGGTCGTTGACTTATTACTTTCTTGGGTTACAAGCTGATGTAGGTGAAACTATCTCTGAAAACAGTCTTCGCACCATGATTTCAGCAATAAGGTACATACTGTATGATATGTTTTTTCCTTAGGCTTTAAGTTGTATTGATATATCATAGTCTTGTGATCAATGCAAAGGGGCGTCCGTGGGCGATTGGTAAAGGTTGTTGACTTCAAACCACTTGCCCCTTACCTTTGTAGGTTACAAGCTAATGTAGGGGAAACTATCCCTGAAAACAGTATTCACCGCATGATTTCACCAATAAGGCAAATTCTGTAGTATATGTTTATGATGTAAGTCTTAATGATAGCTTTTCTTTCCTGCTAAATTGATGGTGCAAAGTTTCCAAAAATTATGTAGGCATTTAGGGATATTTCAGGCTAGACTGTAGAGTACAGTAGACCATCTTACACACGACATCACAGCGGAATGAGCAGAGATGTTCACGCAGCACATCATGGTCACTGTACTTTCAGTATGACATCTTAGAACTCGTGCGCCTCGGTGTCAAGGGTTAAAGTCAATGACTTAAATCCCGTTACCTCTCTGGCGTGGGTGATCCCCGGAATGCTTTGTAGTTAGCGTCGAAAGGAACTAGTACTCGTGTAACTCTCCAGAAATGGTGGAAACCACCCCTATATACGGAAAACTGTTGAAAAGGCGTTAAAAATGAAACAAACAAACAGACCGAATAAGTACCAGACAAGCACAGAGAACACCATATGCTCGATCCATCAACAACCAATAAAGCCTTGAAAAGTTCACCAACTGACCGTCTGTGTGTAGCGTCAACAATAAAAAACCAACCAAACAAAAAAAAAGGATATTTGAGTCATGTCTTTAATTCCAAGCAATTTTTCAGCAACTATTTGACATTGAATACTTCAAGCAGCAATGAGTCACATTAATTCAAGAGGGACTTATCCTAGCATATATATCGACAAATATGTCATATCACTGTTTTAAGCAACCCTATTATTGAGAGAGCCATTTAAGGTATGAAGAAGAGCTATGTTGCAATCAAAACTGTATTGGTACGTTTTCAGGGATAGGTTACCTACCGTCGCTCGTGCCGCCGTCCGTCCGCACTCTCGAATAGGGATAGGGGCCAATCTAACTGAAACAGACCAAAAGGAACAAAGAGTTCATTCCGAACAAATAGGCCAATGCCCTTCATAAACCAAATAGAACATAACAAACAGAATGACCCTAAATTCCAAATTCCGGACCGAGACACGGCCGTTTAGAATCGTGCTGCGATCTCAGTGACCTGTCATGTTAATCCACAAAAACTGTGATCCGCGAAAAACTTGAAAAAGTACTGAAAATATTTTATGAAACTTGTTATATAGATGGCAGTATGGAGATTATGCACGTCTTTTTCTTTTCTTCCTATGTTGAAAAATTCTGGTTGCTATGGCAACAAATAGGCTGAAAATATGGCAAATTTTACACATAACTGGATCCAGTGATAACGCAAAAAGTACTGGAAATATTTTTATGAAACTTGACATAGTTGGGTAGATGGCAGTCTTGGGATTATGCACGTCTTTTTTCTTTTCTTCCTCTGTTGAAAATTCTGGGTTGCTATGGCAACAAATAGGCTGAAAATATGGCAAATTTTACACATAAACTGGATCCAGTGAATAAAAGCAAAAAGAACTGGAAATATTTTTATGAAACTTGACATATGGGTCGATGGCAGTCTGGGATTATGCACGTCTTTCTTTTCTTCCTATGTTGAGAATTCTGGTTGCTATGGCAACACATAGACTGAAAATATGGCAAATTTTACACATAAACTGAATCCAGTGATAACTCAAAAAGTACTGGAAATATTTTTTATGAAACTTGACATATGGGTAGATAGCAGTCTTGAGATTATGCATGTCTTATCTGTTCTTCCTATTTTGAAAAAATATCAGTTGTCCTTGGCAACAAATAGGCTTAAAACATGGCAAATATAACAATATTTGTGATTAGTCAAAAAGAGCTGAAATTTTTTATGAAATTGCATCTTTAATTCAAGAGTTATCTCCTCTTTAAGAATTTTGCTTTTAAAATGTTATATTTTTGGTAACAGGGATGTTTTCAAATATTAACTTTAGAGTGTCCTTCAGACTCCGTCTGTCTGTCTGTTCATAAAAACTGTTTCCTGTGATCACTTTTAAAGAACTTTTCCAACAAGTTTTTACTTAAAATAGAGAAAAATTGAAACATTATAATGCCAATGGCCTCTCAGAATGTGATAGCTTTAACCGAGGGACTATGGAGTTGCAATACGTATGAAATTTCTTGTTATAAAATAAATCAATTTCTCTACACAGAAGCTGTGTCGATGTCACGACGACAGGAAGTTGTAACGTCATCTGAACTATTAAGACTGTCCCCCCATTTACTGAAATAACAACAACCTCCAGTCAACGAGAAGCAGAAGAATCAGTCTTCACCTCATCAGCTTTCTGGTATAACTTACCCTGATTTGAATTTTAAATACGTTCATGGATAATTTAGATAATCACAAAATAAATGTAATTGAGAGTATGTGGATTTAAAGAAAAAACTATCTCCTATTTCATAAAAGTTCCATCTGAAGAATATAGGATGTACATGTACAGGGATCCATCCTTCAGAGTGTTGTCCAAGCCATATCCAGCTTATATAAAGCAACTGATCAGAAGCAGTTGTAATCACTCTGACACAAATGCTCCACATAAAATTAATGTAGTGTGTGAATTAACAGGCTCAAATCAAGGTTCAGTTTCAGTCAACAGAAATTGAATATCAAGAGCCAAAATTATAAATGCAAAAAAAGCAGGATTTAAGTAATACACATTATCAACCATTGCACAGTGTGCACAAGAATTCAGATCCCATCGCGTAAGGGTCACACTGAAGATGGCAAGTAATAAAAACATGAAAAATGTTTGACAATTGTGGTCTTTAATTTAGGATTGATATCACAAATGTTCACAATCATGGGACTGAGTATTGCGATAATTTGCATAATTCAGGTCAATAATATGCAAGGTCAAGGCCAGCAGAGAAGATCAAATGTAAAGATTTTGTCTGGACTACACATAGCGAGATTGTTGTTTTATAAATGTTCAAAATTGTTGGGCATAATTGTGCAAAAATTCAGGTCGCTATGGCCAAGGTCAAGGTCAGATTCAGAGATCAAATGCCATTTAAGAAATGGAAAATGTGACCATTTAGTCATCATGAATTGTAGGATTTTAAACTAAATGTTCACTGTGGGACGGGCAAATTTTCTTTTGTTTATAATTTCGAAAATTGTAAGTGGTTTTTATGAATTTAAAAAAGACATTAGTATGACAAACAACCCCATGTCATAAGGTCAATTTTCAAAATCATTATTTCTTTAGTCCATAGTAACATTAAATGATTGATTTTAAAGAATGCTGTCCGCTATTCTAAAGAAAAAAAAGTTAATCATACTCTTATATGTTAAACAGTGTTTAACGAAGTGTTGTATTACATGTACTTACATAGGAAGCTACAAGAAGAGAGTTACACATCTGATGTGAGGAGCTGTATTGCTAAAGCCATGGAAACTCTTGCACAGGTTAGTAAATTCAGGAAATTCTCTTGACTGGTTGACTATATTATTGTTCATATTATTGTTCTTCAGTAATGTTTTGATATCATGTAACATAGCTAATGTTATATTTTGAATTTCAAGTAGTGCTTATATGTTTTTTGTAACCTTTGTATTTTCTCATATGGAGCTTTAGGATAGTTCTCAATCTGTGTGTGTGTGTGTCCATCCATCAACTATCAGAACCCGATATAAGGATTATGGTGCCTTTTTATATAAAGCCGAAAAAAGGAAAACAAAAATGGGCAGTGGTGTTCTTTTTTGACATAGCAAAATAACTAACAAAATGGCCCTTTATTGTATTTTCAGCTGCATGTCTGTGCATTTGTCAAGCTGTCTGCATAAAATAAAAAGGTAGTTGTGTTAGTTATGGACTTCAATTGTTATGCATTTGACATCTGTGGCTTTGTTACCACGTTAATGTATTCTGGAACCATTTATTGAAGATAAATGGTGGAATGGAGATAATTCTTATTGAACAATTGGAAATATTGCATTTCACATTGGTTAAACCACCAAATAAAATTAATAAAACAAGCATTTAGTGCAAAAACAAGTTTTCTTACATTTTGTTGTAGATCCAACATACTTATTTATAGAAATAATTGTTTTTTGTACATTTTGTAATAGAAAATTTAATGTTATTGTTATTCAGTATGACCCAGATTGTAAGTGGTCACGTTTTCCATCAGACCAGGACGAAGATAGCCCCTCATCTCAGGATGAGACTGGTTCCAGTCCTGCTAATAGACTGGTTGACTGTGCAGGGGATATGTGCCATAATGTCAGAATGCAGACTGTGTCTGCTATATACAAGTAAGATGATTTACCCAGATATATAAACTAATTAATTGTTCTTCTGTTTTTGTGCCCCCACTTTAGTGGCGGGCATTTAGATTCACCCTTTTCCGTCTGTCCGTCCGTTCTCTTTTGTGTTGCATGTAACTCAAAAGGTTATTGACCTAGAGTCATGAAACTTGACAGGAATGTTGATCAGCATGTGCAGTTGTGCACCTGGGTATTTTGGTCTGGATTTATTCAGTATTATTAGAGTTATTGCCCTTGACTTAGTAAAAATTTGCAATTTTCAACTTGTGTCGCATGTAACTCAAAAAGTATTTGACCTAGAGTCATGAAACTTTACAGGAATGTTGATCAGCATATGTAGTTGTGCACCTGGGTATTTTTGTTGGGATTTATTTAGTATTTTTAGAGTTATTGCCCTTGACTTAGTAAAATTTTGCAATTTTCAACTTGTTTAGCATGTAACTCAAAAAGGATTTGACCTAGAGTCATGAAACTTTACAGGAATGTTGATCAGCATGTGTAATTGTGCACCTGGGTATTTTTGTCTAGATTTATTTAGTATTTTTAGAGTTATTGCCCCTTGACTTAGTAAAATTTTGCAATTTTCAACTTGTGTCGCAAGTTACTCAAAAAGGATTTGACATAGAGTCATAAAACTTTACAGGAATGTTGCTCAGCATATGTTGTTGTGCACCTTGAGTTTCGCTTGTGGATTTATCCAGTATTTATAGAGTTATTTCCCTTGACTTAGTAAAAACCGTTTCATTATGTTTTGTTATTTGTTCCTTGAGTGCTTGAGCTAAAATCAACCAACTTTACAGGAATAATGATCAACATCACTAAATTACAGGAAAAATGATCAACATCACTGTAAAGCTATGCATCTGGGACTTTGCATGTGGATTTTTTTCAGTTTTGTTAGAGTTATTGCCCTTGACTTACAGTAGTATAATTTTGCAATTTTCAACATGTTCATGCATAACTCAAAAAGTATTTGACTTGTAGGCCTGAAAGTTTACAAGAATGTTGGTCAGCATGTATACTTACGCACCTTGGGGTTTGCTTGTTGATTTATTCAGTATTTGTAAAGTTCTTGCCCTTTACTAAGTAAAAGATTTTTAGTTTTCAACTTGTGGCACATGTAGTTCAAAAATATTTGACCTAGAGTCATAAGATTGACAAACCAGTTGGGTGTGTGGGCACCCGTGTCCTATGGACACATTTCCAGTTTATGCTGAATTTAACACAGTTTTGTGGGTGACATCCTAGGGTTGATCCTTTGGACTGGCTTACCTTGATAACTAACCAGTAATTATCAATTTCTCTGTGAGTGACTGACTACTATTCCAACATGATTTTTTAGTGAATGGTAACAGACATTGACTATTAGATTCAATGTCTCAGATCAGTTGACAAAAAGAAATTAAACCATAACGGAGGATTGTGAATAAAGTTTTATGAATACAGAGCCCTACCTACTGAGATGAACAGGCAGACCTATTATTGAAACCATCGTAAAAAGTGCTAAAACAAGAAAGTTATATGAATAAATTTACACAATTATTTCAAATGAATTAGTTGTGGATTGGTTTCTATTAATCATCGATATAAATTAACATAGTTTTAACTTCAATTATGCAATTAATATCAATTAATGTTATAGCCATGTTATCTGTGGTCAAGCTGTTAAGATTGTTTTACTTCAAAGGACTTGCCACTCACTGATGTGGGTTTGAATCTTGTCGTGCGAGGGAGCTATCCAACTAGATTATGAAACATCAGTGCTTCTACTCGGGTGCCCAGTCATGCCTGAAATAATGCAAAAAGGGGCCTCTGAAATGTTTCTCATCTAGTTAAGCTGGAAAGTCACTATGTGACTTTTACAGTGTAGGTTTGAATTGTTGACTTATTCTTATTAATATTTTACATATTTTCTTCATAGAGCAAACAGGTGTTACTATATTAAAAGAAGATTTTGTGATAAGAATGATAAAAAAGTAGCATTCTCTGTTTATTAGATTGTTTGTTGACATGAACACAGTAGGCAAGCAACCATTAGACAGGAATAAGCAGCATCAAGTATTTTCTCAGCTCTTCATAGTGTTAAATGATTCTCTAGAACTTCAGGTAAGTTTATTATGTGAATTACAGTGGCTGGTTGTGTCTGATATAACAGTGACTGGTTGTGTCTGATATATGGTAACCGTGGCAGGTTGTGTCTGATATATACTAACAGTGGCTGGTTGTTTCTGATATATACTAACAGTGGCTGGTTTTGTCTGATGTATATACTAACAGTTGCTTTTGTGTCTGATATATATGTACTAACAGTGGCTGGTTGTGTCTGATATATAGTAATAATGACTTGTTGTGTCTGATATATGGTAACCGTGTCTGATTTATACTAACAGTGGCTGGTTGTGTCTGATATTTAGTAACAGTGACTGGTTGTGTCTGATATATAGTAACAGTGACTGGTTGTGTCTGATTTATACTAACAGTGGCTGGTTGTGTCTGATATTTGCTAACAGTGACTGGTTGTGTCTGGTATATAGTAACAATGACTGGTTGTGTCTGATATATACTAACTGTCTGATTTTGTCTTAGATATGGTAACCGTGACTGGATGTGTCTGATTTATACTAAAAGTGGCTTTTTCAGTGTCTAATATATAGTAACAGTGCCTGGTTGTGTCTGATATTAGGTATGAATTGACACCTGAAGCCTTTTGTCACTAAAGACAAACCTTGCATTTCTCTATAATTCTAACAAAGAAATACTGTATAATCGGACTTCTATTGTAATTAGAGTATAGCTGAAATCTACAAAAAAAGATGAAGTTAGAAAAGGGGAAAATACATAAACAATAACATAATTATGAATTTGCTTTAAAGTTTATCACTCATGTATTATGTGAAAATAAGTTATGATGTTATAAGGTAAGAAAGGAATTATTACAAAATTTGTGTCTTTGAAGTTTTGTGCATAAAGGAGAAAATAACAGATTAATATTTTAAGAAAGAAAAACAACATAAAGCAAAAAATCGGTACGATTTAGTGACCATAATTTTTTGATCGAGAAAGTTTGTACCTTTATAAGAAAGGAAAGTTAACATAATTTTCATCCCATATATTTCATAGTAATAATTTTGTCATACAGGGAAAATTATCGCCAGAACGTCTAGAAGATGAGAGACAAACCAGGATAGCAGATATGCTGATTGCTCTAGGTACAGTTATATGTTCAAGTCCCGTCTGTGAGAAGCTGGTTGTATTCTCACTGATGCAGTTTATCAAGGAGAAAGATGTTCCTGTAGACATGGTTATTAAAGTAAGTGATATGTAGTGTAGTTGCACTAGCAGCTATCTTTGTTTTCTTTGATTTTATGCTCCTGTGTGAATTCTTGAAAATGTGGTGAAATGAAAATTAAATTTTACCTGTTTACCTGATGCATATGTGAAATGGAGTTGCCTTGTTTTGAATTTGAAACATTGTATTTAAAGTTTTAAGTTCAATATTTGTGGTTGGTTCCAGAAACAGATTAAAAAGTGTTTCTATAAGCTTTAAACTTTCAACACTTTTGAAATAAAATAAATTCTGTATAAACTAAATATATTTCATGTAATATCAGCTTACTAAGGATTTCAAACTTTACTTTATGTTGATTTTTCAGATTCTTCAGAAGGTTTCTAGGATTTTAGGATACAAGACACATGCTAAGTATACTGAAAGTTACTTCTCTTTCTGTCTACACAAATGGCTACAGTCAGGGTGGCATGTGTCAGAGTTTCCGTACAAATTGTTGGGCAGTGAAAATATTGGACAGTTTTACAGGTACAAGAGCCGTTAATTCTTGTTCGATTAATTTCATTTATTTCTTTGTGAAATGAATAACCAGTTTTTCATATGATTGTTATATATCTTGATGTAAAAATTACATTTGTATGAGTAAAGATGGTGATATTATGTTAACTTGAACTAAGGCTGGTCTTACTGTAATACTGTAATGCTTTCCGGCCAAAAAATACTAACATCAACCTATATCGTAGCAAATCTCGTTATTTTTCAGAATATTATTTTTTGAAAATCTTGGGCATTAGATTATTTACAATCACGCATCCTTTATTGCTATGTACTAAATTATCGCTATGTACTCAATGGTTAAAAACTATTCAATACCGAAGATTTTGAAAAATAGCATTTCGGAAATGCCCATTTTAATACAATATTGACCAATGTTAGAATTTTTTTGGTGGGAAAGCATAATACAGTAAGACTACCTAAATGCTGTTAATCGAAAAATGACATAATGGATTGAAAAACTTTTTTCAGATATAGAATGTGTTATTTGTATAAATATTTGAACAAGCAGTGTTTGGGGGTGGGGGGGGGGATAAGTTTTTACTATTGCTTCTTTGGTATTTGAATAGAATAAAAATTTGAATTTTTTCAAAACTTAATATTGGTAATTGAATTAAACTGCAGCATAATTAAATAATTTATTGCTAGTAAAAGCATGCCCCTTTTCTTACTTCCTGCTTAGCTGATATGTATCAAATTAAAAAATATTTATGTCAGTAGATTGGTATGCTTTGGAAAAAGATGTCTTAAATTTTTTATTTCATTACTCTTCAGGAAGTATTTAAACAGCATTATAGCAGAGTTAGTTTTCATTCAAGACATGGACAGTGTAGAAATCATAGGCTCAAATCTTGGTATTTCACCAAAAGACTTGTTAAAGAACAGCATACCTTATACAGTGGTTCATATCCTACCAGTGTTTGCTGCTAGTAAACAACTGGGGCAGACGGATGATTCCGGAATAAAGAAGAAAATTGGTCGTGCTACAGCTTGCTATAATCTACTCACCAAAGAATTGTCAGAAGAGGTAAATTTTGTTATCTTTTTAATGTGAAGTCCATTTATCAAGTGATTACTTGAATGTGCAGCTGGTTTATTAAGCAATAAGTTGAATGCGAAGCCAGCATATAAAGTGATTAGTTGAATGTGAAGCCCATTTATCAAGCAATTAGTTGAATGAGAAGCCCGTTTATCAAGCAATTAGTTGAATGAGAAGCCCGTTTATCAAGCGATTAGTTGCATGCGAAGCCCATTTATCAAGCAATTGTTGAATGAGAAACCTGTTTATCAATGGCTTAGTTGAATGTGAAGCCCGTTTATCAAGCAATTAGTTGAATGAGAAGCCTGTTTATCAAGCAATTAGTGGAATGCAGAGCCTGTTTATCAAGCAATGTGTTGAATGCCAAGCCAGTTTATAAAGCGATTAGTCGAATGCAAAGCCCATTTACCAAGGGCTTAGTTGAATGCAGTCAGTTTATCAAGTGATTAGTTGAATGCAAAGCCAGTTTATCAAGCTGTAAGTTAGCAACCCTTTAGCAAGCAATAAGTTGAATGAGAAGCAAGTTTATCAAGCAAGTAGTTGAATATAAAGTTTGTTTCTCAAGTGATTTGTTGAATGTGAATTAAGTTTTTCAAGTAATAAGCTAAGGTCATTTTCCTGGTACATTTGCTGATACATTCACATTTGTGTTTATTTTTAATGGGGAATAACACAATTTTGAGTATTTGTATGTGATATTTAATTGTTTATTCTTTATCCCACAAACACAGATTTGTAGAGAAATTTTTCTTTGTAGTTTTATACCTTCTTTTTGTTTTGTTTTTGCATGGCTGACAAAAAAACAACAACAAAAAAACAACCAAATTCTGGCTTAGTCGTGTTTTTTAGCTCGACTTTTCTATGAAAAGGGGAGCTATCCTACTCGCCCCGGCGTCGGCGTCACACCTTGGTTAAGTTTTTCGTACCACCCCACTTTATTTCAGAAGTATTACAAGTATGGCTTTGAAACTTACCATACTTGTTCACCATCATAACCTCCATCTACAGACAAGAGTACATAACTCTGTCAAGGTTTTTGACAGAATTATGGCCCTTTTTTGACTTAGAAAGTGTATTGAGCTTGGTTAAGTTTTTTGTACCACCTCACTTTATTTCAAAACCATTGGAGGTATTGCTTTGAAACTGACCATACTTGTTTACCATCACGACCTTCATCAACAGACAAGAGGACATAACTCTGTCAAGGTTTTTGACAGAATTATGCCCCTTTTTGACTTAGAAAATACATTGAATATGGGTAAAATCCACTTATTGCCTTAACCCTTTGAGATATTGCTTTGAAACTTTTAATGCTATTTCACATCATTACCCCCATCTGTACGCAAGAGAAGGTAACTCTGTCAAGGATTTGTTTTAAAAATTAAGGCCTTTTATCGACTTTGAATCTTGGTTAAGTTTTTAGTACCAGTCCACTTTTTGACTGAACTGTTTGAGATATTAATTTGAAAGTTGGAATACTTGTTTACAATCATGATTCCCAAACATGTCCAGGAGAAGGTAATTCTGTCAAAGATTTTATTTGAATTATGGCCCTTAACTGTCAATGTTTTGTATTATAGGCAAGCACTAAAAAACTTAAAAAATCTAAAAAAATTCATTCCTATCCACTTGTTCACTTTACCATAAATTATGTCATATAAACATTGCTGTAATATTCAAGGGTATCAAACAACTAGTTCACTTTAAAAATACAGAGATTCTTGTATTGCCTTTTACTGCAAAAACTTTTTTTATTGGCAAGCAATAAAAAAGTCGAGCGCGCTGTCTTACGGACAGCTCTTGTTTTTTTTTTTTTAACCTTTTACCTTGCTGGCAACTCGGGAGAAACATGGTACTAACGATCATACATGAACAATTTTGTTGAAAACTTCTTAATGCACAAAATCAATTTTGAGACCACTTCACAAAACTCATTGATATACATGTAGTTGCCACATCTAGGTCATTTAATCAATACTTGCCACTTGTAACTGTGTATTTGAATTCTCTCAAGGATGATAGCCCTTATTTAAAGCTGTGAAAGATTTCAAACTTTCTTACTGTTGTTGATGGTTTGACTTTATCCCTGTAATTGACAAAATGGAAACAAAATAAAAATTTTAAAGTATATTTACCCTGTAGGTTGTAGATAGGCAGATTGTTAACAGTTTGGATGAGATTGTAGCCAATCTTCTTATGTGTTTGTATGATACAGAAGCTGATACTGGCAATATCAGGTAAGTTTTCCTCATAAGCTCTTAATCTCAAAGTGTACTGCATATGTTGTCAACATAAACACTTCATCTCTGTTTATTGGGTAAGTTTTCCTCCTTATGCGGTGGGAATGTTTCTCAACTTCATTTTTAGCTCACCTGTCACAAAGTGACAGGGTGAGCTTTTGTGATCGCTTTTCGTCCGGCGTCCGTCCGTCCGTCGTCCGTCCGTCGTCCGTCGTCCGTCCGTAAACTTTTGCTTTAAATGACATCTCCTCATAAACCACTGAGCCAATTTCATCCAAACTTCACAGGAATGTTCCTTTGGTGGTCACCTTTAAAAATTGTTCAAAGAATTTAATTCCATGCAGAACTCTGGTTGCCATGGCAACCGAAAGAAAAATCTTTAAATATCTTCTTTTAAACAACCCTAAGAGCTAGAGCTTAGATATTTGGCATGAAACATCTTCTAATGAGTGTCTACCAAGTTTGTTCAAATAAAAGCCCTGGGGTCAAAATTGGCCCCGCCCCCGGGGGGTCATTGATTTTCCCTATATGCATATAGTAAAACTTAAAAGATCTTCTTTTAAAGAACTGTAAGAGCTAGAGCTAAGATTTTTGGCATGGAACATCTTCTAGTGAGTGTCTACCAAGTTTGTTCAAATAAAAGCCCTGGGGTCAAAATTGGCCCCGCCCCGGGGGTCATTGATTTTCCCTATATGCATATAGTAAACACTTAAAAAATCTTCCTTTAAAGAACTGTAAGAGCTAGAGCTTAGATATTTGGCATGAAACATCTTCTAGTGAATGTCTACCAAGTTTGTTCAAATAAAAGCCCTGGGGTCAAAATTGGCCCCGCCCCAGGGGGTCATTGATTTTCCCTATATGCATAAAGTAAAAACTTAAAAAAATCTTCTTTTAAAGAACCCAAAGAGCTAGAGCTTAGATATTTGGCATGAAACATCTTCTAGTGAATGTCTACCAAGTTTGTTCAAATAAAAGCCCTGGGTCAAAATTGCCCGCCCTGGGGGTAATTGATTTTCCCTATATGCATATAGTTTAAACTTAAAAAATCTTCTTTTAAAGAACCGTAAGAGCTAGATCTTAGATATTTGGCATAAAACATCTTCTAGTAAATGTCTACCAAGTTTGTTCAAATAAAAGCCTGGGGTCAAAATTGGCCCCGCCCCAGGGGTCATTGATTTTCCCTATATGCATATAGTAAAAACTTAAAAAATCTTCTTTTAAAGAACTGTAAGAGCTAAAGCTTATATATTTGGCATGAAACATCTTCTAGTGAATGTCTACCAAGTTTGTTCAAATAAAACCCCTGGGTCCAAATTGGCCCCTCCCCAGGGGTCATTGATTTTCCTTATATGCATATAGTAAAAACTTATAAAATCTTCTTTTAAAGAACCCAAAGAGCTAGAGCTAAGATATTTAGCATGAGACATGTTCTAATGGGTGTCTACCAAGTATGTTCAAATAAAAGCCCTGGGGTCAAAACTGGCCCCGCCCCGGGGGTCATTGATTTTCCTTATATACATAGCAAAAACTTAAAAATCTTCTTTGAAAAAACCCAAATAACTAGAGTTTAGATATTAAGCATGAAACATCTTTAAGTAAATATCTACAAAGTTTGTTCAAATAAAAGCCCAGGGGTCAAAACTGGCCCTGCCCGAGGGGTGTCATTGTTTTTTACTCTATGTGTATAGTAAAAACTTAAAAAATCTTCTTTTAAAAAACCCAATGAGCTAGAACTTAGATGTTTTGCATGAAACATCTTCTTATGGGTGTCTACCAAGTCTGTTCAAATAAACAAATAAAAGCCCTTGGGTAAAAATTGGGCCGGGGGGGGGGGGGGCTATATACAGGTGAGCGACCTCAGGGCCATCATGGCCCTCTTGTTATATAAATGTTGAATAATTAGTACACTCCGATAATCTAAATGGATGCAAATGTAAAAAATAGCTTTCTGATATTTATTGACAAAACAGTTTTGATCCATTACGTACATATTTGACATTTTTTCCAGAATTTTTTAACTTCTCCATTGTTTTTCCTTGTCTCCAACACGAAAGCCCTATTAGTGAAGATGTTTTCTGTTGTCCATTTTTTCATTTGAAATAAACAAACTACATCTAATTGTTACGATTAATTTAATTGCTGTTCAAGTTCAAGGTCAATTCAATGCAGTCTAAATGTCAAGAAGCGAAGCGTATACACCATCTCAGTAGGGGCGGAGCGTTGCATTGTTTATTCGATATTATTGGATAATACACGTCACGCGTATACTTAACTTCAGTTGCATACACTAAAACGGTTTGGAAAATAGAGATTTTCACACGTTTATTTGTTGTGTTTTGATTGTTGACACTTGTGACACTACGAGGCGGCGTTCTCTTAAAACACAATTACTTGACAGGTAAAAGTGGTCGTTTAATGAAAAGATTGATCTCAATAAGGTGACTAATTAGCGGTCGCTGGTCGCGTTGAGCAAAAGTCGCTTAATACATTAAATATATAGACAGAAAATGATCGGGGGAATTTAAAGTGATCGTTTAAGACAAAAGTCGCTTAATACACGTGGTCGCATGGGCAAGTTAGACTGTATATCTTTATCAGATATTTTGTCCTCATAAACACTTTATACCTGTATTAGGTATATTGTCTTCATACACATTACTTTTTTGTATTAGGTAAGGTGTCCTCAAACACAATCTCTATTTGTAACAGGCAATTGTCCTCATAAACAATGTGTGTGTACCATGTAAGTTGTCCTCATCTAATATCTGTGTTTATCAGTTAAGTAGTCTTCATAGACATTTAATCTATGTGTTTATCAGTAAAGTAGTCTTCATAGACATTTAATCTATGTGTTTATCAGTAAAGTAGTCTTCATAGACATTTAATCTATGTGTTTATCAGTAAAGTAGTCTTCATAGACATTTAATCTATGTGTTTATCAGTAAAGTAGTCTTCATAGACATTTAATCTATGTGTTTATCAGTAAAGTAGTCTTCATAGACATTTAATCTATGTGTTTATCAGTAAAGTAGTCTTCATAGACATTTAATCTATGTGTTTATCAGTAAAGTAGTCTTCATAGACATTTAATCTATGTGTTTATCAGTAAAGTAGTCTTCATAGACATTTAATCTATGTGTTTATCAGTAAAGTAGTCTTCATAGACATTTAATCTTTGTGTTTATCAGTAAAGTAGTCTTCATAGACATTTAATCTCTGTGTTTATCAGTAAAGTAGTCTTCATAGACATTTAATCTCTGTGTTTATCAGGTAACTTGTCCTCATAGATGCTTCATTTCTGTGAGTTATAAGTAAATTGTTCTCATAAACAGTTCATCTCTGTGAGTATCAAGTAAACTGTCCTCATAAACACTTAATTTCTGTATCAAGTAAATTGTTCTCATAAACACTTCATATCTGTGAGTATCAAGTAAACTGTCCTCATAATCACTTAATTTCTGTGTGTGTGTCAGGTATAAGTTGTCCTGATAAAACCCGATCTGTGTATCTTGTAGATTGTCCTCTAAAACCCTTCATCTCTATTGCATGGGGTAACACAGATATTTCTATGTGTTTGTATCAACTTCTCTTCATACGCATTTAAAACTGTGTATTAGATATGATGTAATAAACACTTAATGTTTTTAGACCAATCAGTAGGGATGTGAACATTTAAACATAACAATAAATCTGTTATATTGCTTGGCTTAACCTTTTATCTCAAAATATATAGGCTCTAAGCAGTACCTGTGTGTATAAGTATTTAATTTAATTTGAAGTGTTCAGGTGAGTTGTCCTTCTTAATACTTCTAAGTGTAACAGGTTTGCCCATTTATATTAATGTCTAAGTATTTGATTTCCTAAGAATCATTTTTAAAATATACCAACCCCTTGATCTTAAATTTTTTAAAAAATTTTTACCTAAAACTTTTAAAAGTTTATAAAAATATTTTAATGAAGTATTTTGCTATATCTACGATGTATCAAAAAAATAACTTAATGAACTTATGTTTATTGTGATATAGGGACCAACCAGAACCTAATCCACCTCAACACACAGACAATTACCCTAAAACACTGGATTATTTTTAAAGCATTTTCTCAGGAAGGGGAAAAACACTCTCGAAATTTCTGTCTAAAAAACATGAAAGGTAAAAATTTTTATAGAAAATTTAGAATAACAACCAGATCTAAAATTGTTTGGACGGCAATAAATGAATGGCTATAGTAGCTTACCTTATCTTTTGCCTTTTATTTCATCAAAAATTTGGTCCACCTCTTTAGCTAAAATGGGCAAGCATCGTATTTGTTGATTTAGGGGTCACTGACTTGGTCCTCGGGCAAGGCATACTTGATCTCAACAAAATGAATCTCATGGTCATTTTTTACTCAAAGCTGATTTAAGAAATCAAGTTGGATTAGTATTTGGTCACTTGCAGTGAAACTAGTCATAACTGGTTTGTTATCAAGGAAGGTGGGTTAGGTGGAATGACTACTAAGATAGGACTAATTATGTTGTTGAAATTGGTGTACAAAACAGGCAGACAAATATTTCAAATTTGAATACTAGTGTTGTTTATGGGATGCTGAATATTTTTTTCCCTAGAAATTCTGCCCTTGTGTATATACATGCATAAGTCTGGAACAATGTTTGACCTTAACAAAAGATCTGCAGGTCTTCTGCCCATCAAAATAGCTGGAAAGTTGTGATTGTGAGTGCTAGTGCTGGCACATTTGAACAGTGAAAAATTTAAATAAAAGAGCAAATTTCACTTTTGTAGAAACTGAAAGTAAGAAAATGATACATTAAGCATTTATGCTTTTGATAAGTTTACAATATTACATATGTTTTGAAAATACAAGAAATAAGTAATGAAAATGAATTTAATGAAGAACTTGTGGAAGATAATACAAATTTTGATTGATACTTGACTTGAATAAATGAATACATTTTTCAGGACAGTATACAGAAGATTATGTTAGAGTTATCTGTAATGATGTGGAAGTGTCACAGGATGTCTGAGAAGAGACGTACATTGTTCATGTACCAACTGTTCACTCGTCTTCTACTCCAACAATTTCACACTCAGCTCGGAGGGGCGTGGGTGTACGTTCTCAGAGATGTTATACTCCGCCTTGTTTATCTCATCAAAGATATCACCGCAGTCCCTCTGTATGTTTTTTGAGCCTGTATTTATTACAAATTTTTATTTTCATTCTTACATTATGAGTCACATGAATGCATCAGAATATTAGTTAGAAGCTACTTAGCTGTAATGTCAAAAAATGAAATCAGGGAAAAGATATCAGGTCAAAGAACACTTTGCCATTATAAGGCTTTGTGCTGATTTTTATTTATTAGTTCCTGTTTATTGTCATTATCTCATGAAAGTAACAAAGTGATCAGAAGTTAATTTTTTATTGTAAGTAAAAAGTCACTAAATATCTTGGTATGAAACCTAACTTTCTACTCAAAATTACATAAATCAGGGTCACTTTTTTGAACATAGAAACTGGAGCAAGTATAAATATTATTTAGCACTGTGTGTAGAAGGGTTCTAGAAAAAACTAGATATATATTAGTCATAGCTGTGAATAAAAAGATAACTGTCTGTACACATGCTTGTATAAAAAAGCTTCTGAAAAGAAAAAAAGATTTTCTTGAAGATACATGTAATATGCTCAAGTTTGATATTTAGTACAATGTAATAAACTATGTAGTATTGCAGATTTGGGCTTTATAAAAGTACTTTAATTATGGCTCTAAAGTAAAAAAAAGGGGACAAATTTATTTTTCTTCTTATCCATTTACTCTTATGAAATTTATTAATATTTCTGTAATATTTTAGTGAATGATATAAGACTTTAAAGGTCCTTTTGCTTTTTTTTTCTAAGAAATTCTGTTTACTAATCATTTACACAGATACAAATTTGAATGGAAATCAAACCTTTAAAATTGTTTAGTTGAAATATTATGGGATGGACCTTGACCCATTTTTGATGGCATATTAAATTAAAAAAACTGCCAGCTTTAATTAGATTATTTCAATTTGTTTGTTTTAGAAATGCTGGGACAGAGAGTTGTTATAGAGAGAGTATTGCTTGTATGGCACTAGAGCTTCTCAGAGAGGTTTGCACTGTAGGAGTTGATATTTGTCCTAAGGTCAGCATCACTAGACTTACAGAATGTCTGTTGATTGTTTATTCTGTGTTTCTTGTATCCTCTGTGTTGCTTGTATCCTCTGTGTTTCTTGTATGTTTTTTGTCTCTTCGTCTTATGTGTTGTTTTATCTACAGTGTTTTCATGTGTCCACTTTGTTTCTTGTATACTAAATATTAACTGTGTCCTCTTTGTTGTATAGATTTTTCCTTCATCCTCTGTTTCTTGTATCTTCTGTGTTCCTCTGTTCTCTTTTGTTTCTTGTTTCATCATGTTTTTCTCTGTCTTCTCTGTTTGTTAAAGCTGTAATACTTTCTATATCTTCTATCTTTTCTTGTATCTTCTATGTTCCCTGTGTCCTCTTTGTTTCTTTGTATATTCTATGTTTACTGTATCCACTTTGTTTCTTGTATCCTCAATTTTTGTTGTTGTTTTCATGTACACTGTCCTCTGTTTCTTGTGTCCTCTTTCTTTATTGTTTCCATGTCCTCTGTGTTTCTTGTATCTTCTTTGTTTTCTGTTCTCCATTTCTTTTATTATCAGTGTTGCCTGTGTTTCTCTGTATTCATCAGTGTTCCTATCTCTTTTACCTATATTTTCTATTTCTTCTATCCTCTATTTCAACTAGTCTCTTTAAGTTTTTATCTTCTGAACTTCGTCTGCCTGCATTGTTTTTGCATTCTGTCTGTTTCCTTTTTATTCTGAACAATGATATGCTGTTATAGTGATGAATACTTTGAATTGATTCACTGGAACACCTTATTTCAATGCATTTTATTTATTGTAAGTAGGAAACAATGTTTAATACTTTCTACTATTTTAAGCACAACAGTGTGTTTATAACCATGGACATTGTCTTTATAGGAGCTGATGAAATATTTACCATTACTTACAAGTAACCTGGTATCTACTGTTGGACACAGTGGGGATGTGGGACAGCTGGTAAGTGCAAATTTTTACTTAGTTTGAGGATATTTTGCATCTGATTCTCGATATTGGATTTTTTTTGCCAAGTTTATAAGATTGCGAACTTAAATTAACTTGGGTTGGAATAAAGCCATGAACATTGATTTTCTCATGTGCGGAAGGTTGTTCAGCTAGTATAAGGCGGCTTGTACTATCCACTAGAGCCTGAAATATTGCTAATAAGAGGATTTTGGATGGTTCACCCTTATCGATTGAAAAATAATAGATTATCTGGTTCAGAGTTAGAGTGACTTTAACACAAACAAGCAGAAAAGAAATAGAAATTTTTAAGTCAGACAAAACAGAAAAATGTACTATTTTCTAGTATACTGGTAGCCTTTTGTACTGTGTGCAAAATCCTTTTCACTCTAATATTGTTTAAAACTTACTCATCATGTTGGCTTCCTTCAAATAAAATAAAATTTAATCCTTAAATGAAATCTGTGTTTAACAAATTTTCCATCTAAATGATCTTTGATATTTCTGCTCAGAGGTATATGAAAATTTATTGGGAAAAGAAACATCTGATAATAAAAAATAATATTATGTATATATTTTTTGTGTTATATAAACCATGGAACAATTGCAATTTTTTCAGTCACTAAGCCTGCTGAAATTTTTTTGACACTAGAGAAGGTGAAAGAATTACGTACAGCTATTAGCAATGTTAGATAATTTCCCGGACAAACCTGAATTCAAGGAATGCAGAGCTGTACATCATAAATTGAAATATGCTTCTGGAGCTTTCAGTTTGAAAAAGGTAAAACTATGATAAAAGTTGCAAATGAAGGTCTAAAAACTGGTTTTTAATTGTGCACTTATTATTGCCAATCCAATGTTAAACTCGACATATTGACATTTACACCAACATATTCAATTAAAAAGTGTGTTTATTGACAGACTTCATGATTCTGTAAATGAGGAAAAGATCTGTATTTTTGTATTTTAGATGATAAATGCTTTGATTTACAATCATTCAGTGAAGTACTGTCATATAGAGAATAGTCTTATTACATGGTTGATGTTTGGATGGAGGTTTATCTCGTGAGGGAGAAAGTATCTTGACACAGCAAATCAGATAAACCATCCCGACATGAACCATGTTTACAAATTATCCTCCTTTCTGTGTAGTTAAACCATGTTCCTAGATTATTAAAATGGTTTCATTCTTACTGTAGGCTGATAAATACCTTAGGAATTTAATAACAAGTCAAAACTAACATGAATTTTTTCAAAAACCATAGTTAGAAAACGTCATGTACTTATGTCCTGTATTTGACTGTTTTGTAGTTGAACACATTTATTAATGTACCTTTATTGTACCTTAATTTAATATACCGAAATTTATAGATTCAGTTTAACAGTGTTTTATTGGTTGAAACATTTATATCTTAAATTCAGGAAGTAGACCATTTCTTGATGGCTGGTAGGAATCCTGTAATAGATCAAGATTTTAGACTTGAAGGTTTAAAATTTCTACATGAGCAACTAAAGTGTGAACAAAAAGAGCTGCAGCAACTTGCATCAGGTAATCATTATATTTATGTTTTATGCTAAAATGAAACTTAAATTAATTCATGTATTTGTTGTACACTGTAGCAAAGTCTCATTTTAGTGAAAAGTAAAACATACATGTACAAACTGTAAACTTATTCTTTCAGTGTTTGTCTTATGTTATGCATGTAAAATTGTATCTGTTTCGTATTAGTACAAAACCCATAATATATGATTAAACTAAACTTAAAGTCTGTTTGGGGAAAAAGAATGTTTTCTTTAAGAAAGTTAGGTCCTAACTAAATTCTCTTTTTAGAGCATCAAGTAATAAATGCTATGTGTTGGTATATGTCAGATTCCTTGTCTTGGAAGTCGATGAATTTTAAAGATTTCAGGTTTCTCAATATTTTATTTTCAGATGATACACTATGCAGACTATCATGTTCATTGGTTGAGCTGACCAAATGTGAGAATAGAGATGTTGTGATAATGGCCAGTAAATGTCTTGGTGTCCTTGGACCAATCAACATGAAGACAATATCTCTCCCTGCACCACCTATCAGTATAGGTCTACAACTTGCTCTCCAGTGTTTTGAGGTAAGGAGGTTAAGGGGTTGGGTTTTTTTTGTGTGCATGACATACATGAACATGTATTTCTAGACTCTCAACAAAAAACCCAGACTAGCAGCTTGCTGCAGAACAGTATGAAGCCATTGGTCATTGTTGGGTTTTTTGTTAGGATATTGAAAAAACAATACAGAGATTTTCTGTCTAAGATGTAACGATTGTACCATCAGTTTAAAGTTTTAAAATCAGAAAAAAAGATTAATACATGTTACACTGTATGTACTTATTCATTACTTTAAACTTTACTTATTCATTATGTATTCATTACATTATTCATTATTTATTCAGTGCATTATTCATTATTTATTCATTACATTATTCATTATTTATTCATTACATTATATTCATTACTTATTCGTTACATTATATTCTTTACATCTATTATGGTTACTATATTACTGCCTGTTGTCAATAATGTACAATAAAATAAGCATCTTTATTATAGGAGTTGCCTGATGTTCACAAATACTGCAGAATATTTCACTGTCTGAATACATACCTCACAGATAAAAGGTATGACCTTCACATTAAAAAAGATAGTTGGTTTTTATCACGCTTAGACTTAGACAATTGACATTGTCTTTCTTTCATTCTGGCCAAAACCATTCAACCATTTTATTGTTTCTTGGAAAAATTCAAAATAAGTACTGTTTAAATAGCTGAATGAAGTAAAAGTGCAAGTCATGATCAGACGGTACAGATCTACTGGCATATTTAGGTCTGCATTGGGTTCATCCATAAATAGATTCAGTTGCTTACTACAGTCTTAAATTTAATTGTTATTATATTAGCTCTGAATGATTATCAAGATACAGAGGATATTGAATAATGAGCATACTCATTTGACAAAGTATATATGTCATAGTGTCATTTAAGTTACATATTTGACGAACTGATGACCTTGATCAACAATTATTATGAAGACATATTTTCCATTCCACCAGATGTCTTTCAAATAATAGAAGTGAGCACTATTTGAAGAAGGATATATTTTATGTCTCCCATAAAGAACGATCTTTTACATAATACATGTAACACTTCAACCCCGGTTGGCTTGAACTACTGCTCTCTAGGATAAATTTGTTTGGGCCCCTTCGATTTCGAGCTAACAAAGTTCGACTATTTTATTCGTAAAGCTTGAGTTTTAACCATTGAGGTGCTTTTACAGTAACAATAACTTTTAGCCTGACTTAGCTCTGTTTATAAAAAGGATATCACTCTATGTCAAAATTTATGCCATCTGAGTCCCAATATATGATAAATCCAGGAATGTAATCACAATAGACATGCATGTTATTAGAAAGCATATGGACTGTAATTTTGAGTGATGACAAGCTTTGATACAAATACTAACACTCCAGTAAAACCTTAGAGATGGTGCGATGTTATTGATGAATCATGATTATTTCCCTCACAATATAGTATTGTACAGTATAGTACATGGCGATACATTTTAAAGATTTGTTTGAACAAACACACTACTTTAAAGAGAATTGTTATTGCTTATGGTCTTCTCATCTTTGAAGTTAAAGAATCATACAGTGATTGTTTCCTCTTTTCATTTAAAAATAATTGTATAATGTAATTTTATTACAGATAATTGTCACATGTATAAACATGTACTTGTGAACATTTTAATGATTAAAAGCAGATATAAATGTAATAATTAAGTAGGAATGAATTATGTTATGGTAAAATTGCTGTTTCCATTTCAAACAGGAGAATATAAGTTACAACCTAGTTCATGCAACAGATTCATACCAAGTTAGGTTAAAAAGTTTAGAACAGTGATTGTACATAATTCTGATTGTCTTCTATTTCAGTATTGAACTGGTACAGTCTGCTAGTACTGTACTGAAGGCTTTACTGGCAGTCAAGAAAGGTATAGAGTTTACCAATGGGTACAAATCCCAGCTAGGTGAAAATGAGTACCTGTTTCATTATCTACATCCTTTCAGAGCTGGCAAGAAGAAGGTAACAACACAGCTAGATACTAGATCATCTTTATTCACTATAAGGATACAAAGATATTCTTTCTGCTTTATTTTAACTCTTGGACCTATAATGAATAACAACATTTGCTGCCAGTATAGATCCAGGTTAGCCTGCACATCCATGCAGACTGACTAGGCTCAATACTGTCGGTGGCTCGTGTTTTTATATTGAAAACTTTGAAAATACCTAAAACTTTGAAAAAAGCTCAAATGGACTGTTCCAATTCAAAGCAGGGGGAATCCACAATATAAATTAAGCAGGTTATGAGTAAAATTTTATTTGTTTGAGCAATGTTTTACCCCATCATTTAAATGCCAGCTACCAATGATTTGCTATGTCACCTGTATAATTACTGCAGCATACATATATCTGACCATACTTTGTACATTTCACTCCTTTACTTTAGATGTTGAAATTCTTCACACTAGTAATTGACAAATCCATTAAACAAATACAAGGTTATATTGATTACATTTTGCATTGTTTTCTTTTAGTTCCTCAAATCAAATAAAAAGGAAAGAAAATATTAAGCCTTGCTGCAAATAAGATGAAGAACTGTAGTAAAGAAAATAATTTTTTTTTTTTTTTTTTTCAGATTCCAACCAGTAAGGTAACAAAGCCTGACTGGGATATGTTCCAGACCACAGTAGATCAACAGTTGCTATGGAATCCTGCAAATAGTAACCATGGTAACTGGTTGGTTACCTTAACAACTACATTGATAAACAGTGGAGCTGTCAGAGATGAACTTTTACAGCTGTTAGAACCAGTGTGTTCTATAAAGGTGAAATAAACTGCAATAACTCAGGGGCTTTTAGTTATAAAACTGTTTATTGTTGTTAACACAGGTTTTAAATCACTTTAAAACTAAGTTACCTTTATCATCTACTGCTGAGGTTATGTTATGTGTTACGAGCCAGGCGTAACGAGAAAGAAAAGCCAGCAACAAACTTGTAACAATAACAAATTTATTACAGAAAAATTATTAAAGAAAAATAAAATAACAAATTATGTTAACAAATACCTGAAGTTCAAATGAAAATGAAAAATTACAAATGTCCAGTCTGATCCTGGAATGATCCTTTTTGAATAGCACAGTTAAATCCAAGTTAAATCCAAGAACACTTTAGAATAAATTCCCACAATAAAATCCACAAGAATAATTAATAATCCAAGCTCCAATAAATCACTTAATTTCCAAATATATTGATGACTTAAAAGATTACTGATGACTAAAAAGGTAACTGATGACTTAAAGATCACTGATGACTTAAAAGGTAAAGAGTAATGAAAAATGTCTCCTTATTTATATTAACTAAGAAGTTTCTAGAATAGTCTTCCATTTACTACAGTAATCACAATCTAGCAACTTCAACAATAAAGATCATTCCAGAAATTTTCTATCTAAATATAATGCATGAGTTTTCTACAACAGGTAAGAAAGTTCTAGTACATACATGTAGTCAATGTTCTAAAAATAGAACAATGATAATATTGGAAATACCAACTGATCATATATAAATTATATACATGTAATAAGTTGCATACATATAACATATGGAATATGAGGGAGACTTAAGTATAACTTGAACCCTTGATTCCATACACTACAAAAATACTGCTACTACTATATTCTTTCAAGTACAAGAAAAAAATATTTGATTTTAAGTATTTTTCAAAATCAACTTTTCAGGCTCATTAGCGAGGTTAAATTATTGCAAATTTCTGCTTTCAGTTTCCTTAAGTTTATGATATCCATGGGTAGTTATGATTTGTTACACTAATCAGAGTCTAGGTTCATACACTATATTTTTTAATGACCCAAGCATTCTATGTTGAAGAAATTTGGCAGATACATTAAATTTACTTTGATGTTTAAAAATATCCAACTGTTTTCTATTTTTTCTTAACAGACATTTGTTGAGACTTTCTGACATACACCTTAGCATTGTTGACTCTGGGACAGAGACAAATTTAGAGCACCTGACAATACTTAGATTTTTAGAGAACAATTACTTTGGGAAAAAATTTCATTGGAGAAATCAAATCTTTTGAGAAAATTTCAGATTTTACAGTATGATGTCAGTGTATAAATGTCAAGTTTTGATGCCAAATTGATAACTACATGTATTTCTCTTTTTCAAGGTTGAGTTTTGTGAGCTAGTGCTGCCGTATATTATACATGATATTCTAGTCAATGGTTCAGATGACCATCATGAGGTCATCTCCAGACAAGTGGTCAGCTTTTTCTCAAGTCACTGTGGTCAGTCAAGGTCTGGACAAGTTAGCAGATGCCAGTCTGTGACTCATGCTTATATATACCCAGGTAAAAATGTTTCACTGATGATTAAATAAAAAGAAAATGATTTAATAAATGTAATTTAGTGTGGAAAAGATGTTCAGTAATGTTAAGTAGAATGACAATTAAGGCTTTTTATATGAAAGCAAAATGTCTGTTCATGTAATGCTTTGATAAAGGTATATATGGTGAAAAGTTTCCCTTAAAGCAATGGCTGTCTTTTGACCATTCTTTTTTAATCATTTTGATAAAGTCTTGTATATAGGCACCACATTTCAACATTATTTTCCATCATTGATCTGAAATATCTTCAAGTTCAATTGTTATTTTTGTCCTTTACTTTAGAGGGTGAACAGAGTATATGTATGAACACAGAGTCTGTGAGAACTATGTTAGATGTGATACAGTATCTACGTCAACAACAAAGACCACAGAAAGGGTAGGCTATTTATGTTAGGTACCTTACCAGTGTTTTTAGATGCAGTAAATGATTCTGAAATGTTGAATTTAAAAGTCTGTCTTTAAAACAAAAAAGCTCGAAATGCATGTTAACAAGTTTTACAAGCTTCGGGTTCAAGGTCGTTTATATGTGGAAGCTATCCACCTTATTAACGGAAAGTTGGTGGTTTTACATGGTTGTTTGGTTATGCCTGAAATAATGTACAGTGGTGCACCTGAAGTTTTTTCCCCTAGTTAAGCTTGAAAGTCATCATAGGACCTTTACTGTGTCAGCCTGACATATTGTGTCAGCCTGAAATAGTCTGTTTTCTAATCCACAGTTACTTAATTCATAATCTTTCAAGCATGTGATTATTTTAGGAGACAAGAAATGACAGTGTGGGACAACAATTTCTGGCTGGATGTTGATTATCTACAAGTTGCCATGGCAGCACAATATTGTTCTGCTCACTTTACAGCATTAATGTTTGCAGAGATTTGGTGTGATCTTCAAAGGTAAATATAATAAAATAAGAATATTTAGTGTATGACATTGTTAAGTTCTTATACCTTTATACACTGGATCAGATTAGATAAGTGATTAGCCTATACTATCAGTGTAGAACCAAACCAGGTTGCACATGTTTGTCTCGGCTTTTTAGCTCACCTGTCACAAAGTGACAGGGTGAGCTTTTGTGATCGCTTTTCGTCCGGCGTCCGTAAACTTTTACTTTAAATGACATCTCCTCATAAATCACTAGGCCAATTTCATCCAAACTTCACAGGAATGTTCCTTTGGTGGTCACCTTTAAAAATTGTTCAAAGAATTTAATTCCATGCAGAACTCTGGTTGCCATGGCAACCGAAAGAAAAAACTTTAAATATCTTCTTTTAAAAAACCCTAAGAGCTAGAGCTTAGATATTTGGTATGAAACATCTTCTAGTGAGTGTCTACCAAGTTTGTTCAAATAAAAGCCCTGGGGTCAAAATTGGCCCCGCCCCAGGGGGTCATTGATTTTCCCTATATGCATATAGTAAAAACTTAAAAAAATCTTCTTTTAAAGAACCCAAAGGGCTAGAGCTAAGATATTTAGCATGAAACATCTTCTAATGAGTGTCTACCAAGTTTGTTCAAATAAAAGCCCTAGGGTCAAAATTGGCCCTGCCCCAGGGGGTCATTGATTTTCCCTATATGCATATAGTAAAAACTTAAAAAATCTTCTTTTAAAGAACCCAAAGAGCTAGAGCTAAGATATTTAGCATGAAACATGTTCTAATGGATTTCTACCAAGTTTGTTCAGATAAGAGCCCTGGGGTCAAAATTGGCCCCGCCCCGGGGGTCATTGATTTTCCTTATGTGTGTATAACAAAAACTTAAAAAAAACAAATTGCTAGAGTTTAAATACTAAGCACGAAGCATCTTCTAGTGAGTGTCTACCAAGTTTGTTCAAATAAAAGCCCTGGGGTCAAAATTGGCCCCGCCCTGGGGGTCATTCATTTTCCTTATATGTGTATAACAAAAACTTAAAAAATCTTCTTTGAAAAAACTCAAATAGCTAGATTTTAGATATTAAGACCGTAGCATCTTCTAGTGAGTGTCTACAAAGTTTGTTCAAATAAAAGCCCTTGTGTTAAAATTGGCCGGCCCGGGGGGACATTGATTTTCCTTATATGTGTATAGCAGAAACTTAAGCATGAGACATTTATAGTAAGTGTCTACAAAGATTGTTCAAATAAAAGCCCTGGGGTCACAACTGGTCCTGCCCCAGGTGTGTCATTGTTTTTAACTATATGTGGAAAGAAAAAACTTGAAAAAATCTTCTTTTAAAAAACCCAAGGAGCTAGACCTTAGATGTTTAGCATGAAACATATTCTAATGGGTGTCTACCAAGTTTGTTCAAATAAAAGCCCTGGGGTTTAAACTTGCCCCGTTCCGGGGGCCTGTATACAGGTGAGCGACTTCAGGGCCATTATGGCCCTCTTGTTACTGTTGATGGCTGATATTTTAAATGAACTGTTCTAAACCCAAATCTTTGCAAATATGTTGCAACCACTCAGCATGTCAAGGGTGTAATCATTGTTATTAACCAATTAAATGGATGCTGTGACTTTGATAAACGTTATTGTGCCTTAACATTCTAGCACCCTCTTTCACTTAACCATACTCAGCATTAATGGGATATCACTTAGACTGCTCTGTAGAAAGTAAGTTTGATATTGTCCAGTTGAAATATGAATTGTGTCTAGCAAGAGTGAACCAGAGCTCTAAAACTAGGTAATGTACATTTCTACATTGAAAGTAGGTAATGTATGCTTTAACTAGAAAATGTGTGTAGTATTGAAAGAAGTAAATGTATGCTAAAACTTGGTAATGTATATACAGATGAAAGTAGGTAAAATAAATTTAGAAAGAAAGAAATTCTGTTATCTTGGACGTAAATATTTTTTGTACATTGTATCTATATAGAGAAAGATCAGAATCAGACAGGGGCAGTCAGAGGTCATCACAGGGGTCAAGCCAGGATACAAGAATAGATACCCTAAGTGAGGCCTCAAGTTCAAGGTCAGGTGTATCTGTTCAAGATCTGCTATTGGAGGCTTACAGCTGGATTGGGGACCCTGATGGGGTTTATGGTTGTGGTGCAGGCAGGAAGGCTGATAGTTCCTCACGGTTTGTAGTTCTTTTTATTATTATTTAGTTGTGGTCTACTACATGTAGCATGGCACTATGCATTGAAGCTTTTGATTTGAATTTGTTTCAAGACTTGATTATATTGTAATATTAATGTCATGGTCAAGTTTTTTGTTCTCCATCATTAGCCCCTTCAGACATGAAATAAAACAAAGATCGGTACCAAAGTTTTTTCTACAATAAGTTGCCATGTGAACTCTACAATTATGTTGGAATTTTGTTAAAGTAGATTGTTCCGTATTCTTTATCCAGAATTGCTAAATATGCTTCTTAAATGAAACCAATTAGCAACGTGTCAGTCTTACATACATTTTTTATAGAATCTGCACTTATCAACAAGAAAACCAATGGGATAAGGCAGTTGTGTCATGTGATATTCAAATGAGCCAATCAGGAACCACCAATCAGTATGATCTACTTAATGTAAGTCAGTATTTTTGATAAGGTTTCACTTTGGTATAATATATGGTCATAGAAATGTTTAAGTCACCATACATCAAAATTCATCACTTGAAACAAGTTTTCAAAAAAAAATTAACCTATAGTGTAGAATAATGCTATGAAGTGATTTTTTTCATTACTAAAAACCTGGAAATTAATGGATTAAATTGCTCAAGATGATAAATTAAAGCCCTTTTACCAAAGTAAATTGTTATGATTCATTTGAAATACTGAAATCCTATTGGACAAAAAATAATTTCAAATACTAAAAAGTGATATGATATGACTTTTTATTCCAGCAATAAAAGAAACTGTGGAATTTGAAACACTTACTTTAATTTAATGATAATTTTTTATAATTTTTACAACAAGTAACTTAGAATACATCTCAATTTGATTTGAACCCTCTAAAAATGTTTTCTTTCATTAAAACTTAAGGTTTTGCAATGCTTCGGAGCTAATCACATCTTCAACACTTACCTGCAAGGGATTATGGGACAGGATGATGTGCCAAATTTAACTTCAGAAACTAGAGAGCTACAGTTTGAAGCTGCTTGGAGAATGGGAATGTGGAACCTTGATTCACCAAACAAGTAAGTATTTCCAGAGCTGAATTTAGTAACCCTCTGCTTTGACTGAATAAATGTATGTAGCAAATCTTGATAGCATTGAAATATATTTCAGAATAAACTTTGCTTTTCGTATTAAGTTTTTAACTTTGTTCTACAAATTTTCAGACTAAACCCTTTTAAAATCACATGTATTAGCCTACAATTTGGATTAAATAATATTAAATGTACCATTTGTAAGTTTAACTGGTATACACTTTCTGTACAATAGATAACAACCTGTATACGTATAGATAAGTTGTAAATGCAGGGAATTCTACTCATTCTAGTTTTAGTGGTTGTGTTAATATTTTGCTTATGTAGCATTGTTTATAAAGTGTATTCTTAAGAACATAAAATATGAAGCATCGGGTTGTTCCTTCAGGTTTTGTTTGTCAACGAACTTTGCGAGTAAAACAATTTAGTAATGTTTCGTTAAGAGCTTTACAGTCACTGCCACATTTGAAATTCTAAGCGAAGCAATATGAGTATAACATCTAATAAGGACTTTAATGCGCTCAATTGCATTGTATAATATTTAACCAGGATTGAGACGGGGACAGGATTTCATGAAAGTGTTTTCAAGGCCATGAAGTCAATCAGAGAGGACCATAGCACTTTTACAGACAAATCTCTAAACCATTCAAGGTAAACAATTAACAAATGATTCAATGATTTGTAATGCAGATATGTTTTTTGACTCAAAAAACTCTAATAGTTATTTTATTACAATGCCTTTCTAAACATTGTATATCTACAATTTTAGGGGCATCCGTTGCCGAGTGGTTAAGGTTGTTCAAATCCCAATAGGGACAATGGATTCTTTCATGTGAGGAAGCTATCCAGCTATCTAACAGAAAGAAAAGTTCTACTTAGGTGCCTGAAATAATGCACAGAAGGGCGCCTGAAGTCTTCCTGCATCAGTAAATGCATCAGCCATATGATCTATTATGTGCTGGTGTGACGTAAAACACAATTAAACAAACAAAATATCTACAATTAAACTGTTTTGAATAAATTTTGCAACACTTTTGCAACACTTTTAAATTTCTATGTTTGTTATGCAGTTGTGGGTCAATAAATATTAAAAGTTACTTGATAAACTATGAAAAGTATTAGATGCATGTATATATTAATCTTATTTATACCATGTACGTATTATTTTATCAGATTATGTGCAGTGTCAAGGTTGAAGGATGGCTGTTTGACTAGTGCTAGGAAATTATATCCTGTTTTAGCAGACCTAATGTGTGTTAACATTGTCAACCAAACAAGTGATCTACTTAAAAGGTGAATATGAAAATATTGGTATCTTTTTAATCTTTCTTTGTACATACAATGAGATGCAGATACGTAATTAAAGAACTGTGATATATGAATAAAATGTTTTATAAATATACATGTGCATGAAAAAAAGAAAGTTTATTATTATGTTATATTTTTTTTAAGAACTAAAAAAAAACAAAAAAACTTTTCAAACACTACAAAAGGAGCATTCATCAAATTTTTAACACACTTTCATTATGCATGTGATGTCACTGATGTGTCATTGAAGATAGCTACTGTACTTTAATATTTGGTCATGGATATATGATTTTTTATGGAGACATCCCTGGTCTAATGGTTAAGGTCTCTGGCTTCAAATCACTTGCCCTCTACCACTTTGGGTTAAAATTCAAACAGGGCCGTTGGATTCTTTCTTGTGAGAAGTTTACATAACATCAGTGGTTCTACTTGGGTGCCTGCTCTTTCCTGATCAAATAATGCACTGAGGGGCACTTGAGGTCTTCCTCCAGTAATGCTAGAAATTCACCATATGGCCTTTAATAACTATGTTCGTGTGACTAAAAACCCCACCAAAAAAAGAAATAAAGAAAATTATTTCATGTGAAAAAGAATATCAACTAGTCTACTGAAGGGCTCGTGGTCTACCAACATCCATACTATTACCTGATTACTAGAATACCTTGGAGTCTACTGCAGGACTATGATTCAGTCAACATCCAAACTATTGCCCTAATTATTGCATGCTAGGATGCCTTAGAGTATTTCTCAACTAGAAAGTACTGTAATGTTGTTATATGACTGAAACTGTGTAACTAGGGGCACTTCTTAGGGAGTATTTAACCTCAATTTTTTTGTTGGTTGGAAAAGCAAAAACAATTATGGATTCTTTTATTTGAGGCAAGTAAAGCTTCCTTAAGTAAGGCTTGTTGGTCCTACACATGAAAATGCTTAATTACAGAAATAATTCACTGTCTACCATAATTTTATTCCACCAGTTAATAGTATTTCAGTTAGCCAGAAATACATGTAATATTCATCTTAACCATTAACAGGCTGGAACCCAAAAGTGATCAACCTGTGCCACCAGTATAGAGCCAGGCCAGCCTGTGCAGTCTGACCAGGCTGTATACTGTTTGCAGCTCACTTATTATATTTAGATATTGAAATCCCTGGAAGTTTGAATGAACTGTTTCAAATTTAAAGCTGGACAGATCCATTATAGAAATATAGCAGGTTACGGGTTAATTGGTCTTTCTCATTATGAGTTTCAATATCGTTACCATATCATGCAGAAAAGTTACTATTTACTTTTTCTTTGATTTTCTATTATTTCTAGTAAAATTTCACTAAAAATGTTTTGCTTTTATTTATTCACACATTGTGTTTGAAACAGTTTTAGAGAGGTAGGGAGAATGGATCTTAGTGATGTGAACCAGATATTGGACACTGACAGTGATATCAAGTTTACCTTGCCTACATTGTATATGAAATGTTCAGCAATGAAGTTACTGTGGGAAAAGACGGATAATAAACATGTGTTCCGTATCTATGTAGAAAGTCTACACCAGCTAGCAACTAGTGCAAGGGAAGCTAATAGGCATCAGGTAGTTTTTTTCTTAATTATTTCCACTACTGTCATTATAATTTGATCATAACATATTTGTTTAAGCCATTTGCCGCCAGAGCTGTAATTTATACTTATTTTCTTAATTGATTGGGATATTTCTAAGAGCTACAAGAATTTATTATGATAGAAAATTGATGCTAAATGTTCACTTGATATGTGTATAAAATATGTAAAATCTACACTTTTATAAAAGAAAATTAATGAAGTTTAGATGAAATTATTTTTTTCTTCATCCTCAAATTAAAAAACTTTTATAACTAATCAGACAAATATAAAACTTTCATAACAAAGACAGTTATACTTGTTTTCTGGCCTAAATTAATGGTACAATGTATGGGACAGTAACTGTCTACCACTTAGTCTTGTAGTTGAATTACAAATATTTCAATATTTTATGCTTACCAATTTGATTTCTCACATACCTGTGTAACAGATGATATACATGTACATTATTTAAGAAATAATATATCCCAAACAGTGATTTTATCATTCAATAAAATCACTGTTCTGATAAATTGTGCCTGATTTGTTTTAGTGTGTCGCATTTTTAATGGCTACATCATAATGTTGACTGGTTCCATCACATGTCTTAATTTAGAAAGTCAACAGTGATTTTATTGCATAGTAACACACACTTTTGGTCCTTCTATGTGCAATAGAGAAAAATGTGGGTGATGTTAGAATTTGGGATAATTACAATTTAACATTAAAAACAAAGGAAGAATGCATAATATTCTCCCAAGGAAATTTTACATTTGTTTAGGTTACATTTCATCATTTGTAGGTATCTGAGAGGGCCATAGCAACAGTCAAGGAGCTGGACATATCAGATCTTTCTCTAAGCATACCCTCTCAGATTGAAGAGGCAAAGTTGTTCTGGGCAAGAGGAGAGGAGAATATAGCTAAACCTTTACTTAGAGGCATGATTGATAAACTTAGGAAGGTAGTGTTTTCTTATGATATGTTGCCTTGGATATGTTATTTTCAAAATTTTCTCAAAAATTTTCTTAAAACAATATTGATAAATCCACTAATATTTGATAAAGTTTTAACTTTTATTTTGATCACAAAGAAACAGCAAAGTAGTTATAAGTCTTATTAATCAAGGAGCAAATCTGTTAAATTAAATTATTATTATTAGAAGCAAAACTGTGAAATTATAAAAAGGATATTAAGAGAAATAGAAATTCAAGTATTTAAGTTTAGACCAAGGTTTAGTTTCGGGAACAAGGCAGTAAGTGACATTGAATTTACCAGAGCAAAGTTCAGCCACTGCTTCATTCCTGGGCATGCTGTTGATCAGGTCACAAATACTAGTTGCCTTCACTTTTGCAAGGAAATAATAACTTCTGTACATGCCAGAACCGAGGTACAGTGTGAATGACTGTACAAAAGATTTCATGATCAATCACACTGAAAGTGACCTGCACATTCCAGGAATCAAATCTGGGTTGCTTGATTCACAGTCCCAACACTCTACCTATTTAGCTAACTGAAGGGTTCTGATGTCAAAGATTGCAGGCCAGGCCATTTTGTAAGTTTGTTGTCTTGGTCCAGGGTCATCTGCATCAATTAACTTATTATATAAAGGTTTTAGATTTTTATAAAACACTTTTTCAGTTAAGATCTACGGACAAATCAGCAGCCATGTTTTACCCACAAACCCTCAGTATCTATGGTAACTGGTTAGCAGAGACAAGATCAGAAAACCCCAACATTATTATGGAAAACTACATGGAAAAGGTAAAGTCTTGTCTTTCCAGTAAAGCTTCAATAAGACTCAGTGGATATGTGTTGAATATTTTAGACTGAATAATTTAACCTTGTACATAACATAAGTCTGGCTATATCATTTAGACCGGTCATTTTATTACTTAAAAAACACTTGCTTTTGGGAAGAATGGAGGGGATATATGGCCAGAATCTTTGCAGCTCCAAACATACATTTTTCTGCATTAATTCTGTTGATGCTGTAAATTGGACTTTCACCTTTACTGTTCATAGCTATTTCAAATGAATTATTTCGAGAATTTCAAGTGAATTCTATTGAAATTATTATTGTTTAAGTCTTTTTAGATAGTTGCTTAAAATCGTGTGTCTGAGGTTAATTATTGCTTAATCAAAATACGGAGGTATAAATATACAATACATATAATATATATGTACATATGTAATGTTACAGGCTATAAACATGTACGAGCAACTAGATGAAACCGGGGACCGGTCAGTGGACGCGTACCTTGCGCTGGCGAAATACGCTGACACCCAGTACCAGAATATTGTTAATTACATGAACTCAAGTACATACGAGGCAAAACAATCTCTGATGAGGAAATCTCAACAAGAAGCTGATCGACTTAGAGAAGTTATGGGAGAATCTGCTAAAGAGTATGTTAAGATGATCTCATTTCAAATATATAGATTGATATTTGTTTATTTTGAGAAAATACAGATAATAGCTTACTAGTGACAGAACAATATCATATTATTTCTTGAGTTGGGTACCGCCAGAAAGAAAATACCACGGTATACCACGGTTTTTTCCTAAAAACCACGGTATTAACCGCGGTATACCACGGATTTTCATTGTACGCTATAGGTTAATTTTTATCTCTAAAATAAGTATCAAGGTAGGCTGATATAGAATTTCAAATATCAAAATTAAGCAGATCTATAAAATACAGATTAATCAAAGCATCATTTAACTTTTTTTCATAAGGTACTTTCGCATGTTGACAATCATAAATTAATTGGGTCATGGATAAGTTCTTGTTGTTGTTTTTTTTATTATATATTGGTCTCTTTCAACATTTAACAACTGTTATATAAATTGCATAGTTGAAATGGAAAAATAAAATGTTTTTATTGCTTATGCACGTTAGCCGATGACAAATATTTATTTGTCGGTTAATTTTATAACAGAGTCCCAGCTGCTATTGTAAATTTTTTTATTGCAAGAGCTAGTTTAATTAATCTGTGTCAGAAACCAAAACAAACATGTACCCCAAAAGCAAATTAAAATTATCACATAGAAAAAAGCTGACCATGTTGCTGCTTAATTAATATTCATTAGTTGAACGAACATTACTTTTAATCCAGTTTCTACGCCGTTCTATAATTAGTTAATTGCCATGCGCATGCAGTAAGTGCGTGACGTAAGGAAAACCCCTAGCCTGATTGGTCGCTATTTATATAAATACTTAAAATAGTAACACCCTAATTTTATGCAAGCTTGGAATGCCCTCATGAATTATCAATCTTTACGATTAGTTTTCGTATCAAATAAGCGATATTTGGACAAGTAAATGTAAGTCGACAATTCTTGCTTCTTCAACTGAGATCATGCAAGTCGACAATTCTGGCTTACATGCGGTAATCGATAAAGCATTCAATTTTCGCTAAGAACTATCGAAGAATGATAACAGTCGGCGAAAGTTGTTTGCAAAAAGGTTAATTCAAAGAAATATTGACATATACAACAGAAAAAGTTTTTTAATTTAGTACATTTTACGGATCTGTAATTGCTTTAAATTAGAGCTAAAAGTACCGGTTTTCCAGGTCTGTACCGCGGTACGTACCGCAGATGTCTCGGACCGTGGTTTACCGGTATACCGGTTAAACCGCGCACCTCTAATTATTTCTCAAATGATGTATGGAAATAATCATGATAATGAAAATTTACAATTTTTAAAGGACTTTTTTTTGGATATTATTGATGGAAAATGGGTTTGTCCTCAATGAATGAACAATAAGTATGCAACTTCTACTGATGTAAGTCATATCAGTGAAATCCAATATTTTATATCGGGAGTTGAAATGAAGTAAACACAATCTGATATTTAAACATTTCTTTGATTAAGTTTTTATACATGTATTATTAGAAATATATTGTACTTTGAGGTCTGTAGGAGTTCAATAATATTTTTAGTCATTTCCCTTTAAGAAAAAGAAACTGTAAGTTACTAGTACATGTATATTGCTGATTATAACACATTATTATTGCAAGTTGTCCTTGATGTGGTATGACGTTGACGACATTTCCTGTAAACAAATATACCTGATGAAGACATTAAAATGTTTATAAATAAAACAAAACATTTTGAAACTTAAACTAGATTTGATTTCTATATTAAAACTTACATATTCATTACTAATACATTTTTAGTCGATATCTACGAACATTAGAAAAGCAAACAGAGATAGATCAACATGAGCTGTTGTGTATGCAGGAAGATAGGAACATTTATCTACTGAAGGCTGTACTTAATTATATCAAATGTTTGAGGTGTGGAGACGAGCATAATTTACGAGTGTTCCGACTGACATCTCTCTGGTTTAATAACGTGCATAATAAGGATGTAAATAGTATGATGGAGGTATTTTTAAAAAAATTGCGTTTTTTCTAACAAAGTGCATAAATAATGATATTATTTCTTTAAATGGTTATATGTGTAGTTTCTTCTGCTATAATTTTGTAGATTATGTGATTGTGGAGCTAAAAAGAAAATAATGTTGGGTAATTTTTCCCTGTAAAAAATAAAATAAAAGAAATATATGACGATTCTGTTATTTTATATCTCTAGGTCAAATTTATACACGAGAAAACCCAAATATTTCTTTTGAAATCTTTTTTTTTTGTGTGTGTGTGTACATTCTGCAGCAGGAAGTATATAGAAATGTACAGATTCTTGAACAAAATATGTAATATTGTGTATCTTCATTGACTGTTTGAAATATTGTTATATATTTCGATGTCTTGTCACTATAGGGAGCAGTGAAAGAAATCAAGACATACAAATGGTTACCACTGATGTACCAGCTAGCAGCAAGAATGGATGTCAAACCACACAGAGATACTTCACAACCTTTCCTACAAATTCTTGACAAGGTTTGTTTGTCATATCATTGTATATAAGAAAGTTCTATATATTTATCAAAAGACCTCTGACTAACGAAGTGGTTAAGGTTGCTTACTAATTTTTTGTCGCTCACCTCTTTGGTACAAATCCTATTAAGAACTTTAGAATCTTTCAAGTTAGGAAGCTGTCTAGTTTTCTTACAGAAGGTTGATGGTTCATAAATGGTGCTTACTTTTGCCTGAAATAATGCAACAGTTGAAAAAAAACACAACACTTACTATGTAATTTATCAATTAAACATGTATATATAAATCTTAGAAAAGAAAACATTGAATATATTTGAAGGGAAAGATTTTCACTGTGATAAAACTAAGAACAATGTTATAATTTTTAGATGATTTATGAGACAGCAGTGTCGCATCCACACCATACCTTGTTTTGTGTTCTGGCATTGGCTAATGCCAATCGTGATACAGAGTTGTTACAGCAGGCGAAGACAATGAGAAGGAGCAGTAAGATGTCCAAATCTCAGGCTGATAACCCAGCCGAAGAGGTATTCATTCATTTTATTTGTGTGTGTGTTGTTCATCTTCATAAATGATACTCATCTTTTATCTCAGGGATATCACCTCTGGATGAATAGTTGTTTATGTTTTTTCATACTTGTTGAAATTATGTTTTAGACTTTCCCTACAATGAAGTGGTAATTTTCTATCAAGAACAAATACTGACAAATGGACTCCACTGAGAGTTTTTTAACATGACTTGCTAAGAAATGTTATTCAAAATTATACCATTTGATGAAGTTATATACCAATAACATGTATGCAAAATTTTAGATTGTTTGCTATCTCTGTTTTTCAAGTGTGCAAAATTACCTAAAAATGAAGTATTAAAACGCTTCTGACGCAAATTGGGCTAAGAATTGTACTAAGTAGCGATTTTCTATTTAATTCTGTGCATATTTCTTTGTTATGTTTTCCATATTTTTTGTTTGTAAGTGATTCTGTTGATTTATGCCACATTGTCATATATAGGCATTTAACTGTTTCTACCTCAGTGGACTTTGTGTTTATTCAGGTCTGTAAATACAAAACCTTCATGTTTGTGAGTACACATTGTAACTTTTAAAAAAATATGGTAGTTATTTGCATTATAGTCTGATATGCACTGTCGTAAAATTCTATAACACTAAACAAAAAAGTTTATTAAGTAGATTATCCCTTCCTGGAGTGTTAATAAAAAATACTGTACAAAAGTGGTAACAGTTCCAATGAAGTTAACAAAAACCAAACATTTTAGATATTGAATTATTTGTTGTATAAACAGGGTAGAGTGCTTGCTGCTAAAAATATGGTAGGAAAATTAAGGGAGAATAAAAAAGTTGGAGACATTGTGAAAGATCTACAGACACTTTGTGATGCTTACATACAGTTAGCTAACTGGAATGTTCAGGAATATAAAACACAAACAAGTAAGTTATAAAACTACATTTGAGCCGTGTCACGACAAAACCAACATAATGCGTTCGCGACCAGCATGGATCCAGACCAGCCTGCGCATCCGCGCAGTCTGATCAGGATCCATGCTGTTCGCTTACAAACCCAATAACAAGTAGAGAAACTGATAGCGAACAGCATGGATCCTGATCAGACTGCGCGGATGTGCAGGCTCAAACGGTAAAATCACAGTGATCATCCTAACTCTTCCTCCTAATTTTGTTTTTGCCTTTAATAATACTTTCATATATTAGTTGGTGTCTTCATTTTTAAGAAAGTGAATATAGAAAGTTAAGATATGGCCATACAAGTTTTGATTTGATATCTAAGTTAACTTAACCAAACCAGGAAAGCCATAATTGGTAAAAGCTATTATTTTAATTTTTTAAAACTGTAATTATGTTGTTTCTATAACTGCATAACCATTTTCCAAACGTTGGAACAAGAAGTAACTCTATTATATATATATAACACACTACAATATAATAACTAATAAGAAAAAAATATTCTGAAACAAAATTATCCATTACTATTTTGTTTTTTCTGCAATCTGAGTTTAGTGTGTACACCACATTCTTTCATGAAGTACTGTAGTTTTCTCATCACAATAAATGCATGAATCTGTTGATCACAGAGAGTTCAAGATAGGTTTATAATGTTTAATTTATTTGGTTCTGTTTGTCAAATGTTTCAGAGCCAATCCAGTTGCCAGCACAGTTATGGCTCACTAAAGTGAAGGGCTTGCGGAATGTGCCAGTACCTACAAAGGAAATAAAGGTACATGTAGCATGTTGCGATGACAATAGCAAAAGCATACTAAGATAACATTAACTTTGTAATTATGCTCCCCGAAAAATTTCGGGGGAGCATATAGTCGCCGCCTAGTCCGTCCGTCTTTCCGTCCAGTCGTCCGTCCCCTTTTCTTGTCCGGGACATAACTCTAAAAGTATAAGAGGTATCAACATGAAACTTTGTAGGTAGATAGATCTCATTGAGTAGGTGTGCAGTGCACAAGAACCGTAACTCTGCCTTGCCTAATTTTTGAATTATTCCCCTTTGTTTATTTTTACACTTTGAACTTTGTCCGGGACATAACTCTAAAAGTATAAGAGGTATCAACATGAAACTTTGTAGGTAGATAGATCTCATTAAGTAGGTGTGCAGTGCACAAGAACCGTAACTCTGCCTTGCCTAATTTTTGAATTATTCCCCTTTGTTTATTTTTACACTTTGAACTTTGTCCGGGACATAACTCTAAAAGTATAAGAGGTATCAACATGAAACTTTGTAGGTAGATAGATCTCATTGAGTAGGTGTGCAGTGCACAAGAACCGTTACGCTGCCTTGCCTAATTTTTGAATTATTCCCCTTTGTTTATTTTTACACTTTAAAATTTGTCCGGGACATAACTCTAAAAGTATAAGAGGTATCAACATGAAACTTTGTAGGTAGATAGATCTCATTGAGTAGGTGTGCAGTGCACAAGAACCGTAACTCTGCCTTGCCTAATTTTTGAATTATTCCCCTTTGTTTATTTTACACTTTGAAGTTTTCCGGGACATAACTCTAAAAGTATAAGAGGTATCAACATGAAACTTTGTAGGTAGATAGATCTCATTGAGTAGGTGTGCAGTGCACAAGAACCGTAACTCTACCTTACCTAATTTTTGAATAATCCCCCTTTTTTATTTTACACTTTGAAGTTTGTCCGGGACATAACTCTAAAAGTATAAGAGGTATCAACATGAAACTTTGTAGGTAGATAGAGCTCATTGAGTAGGTGTGCAGTGCACAAGGACCATAACTCTGCCTTGCCTAATTTTTGAATTATCCCCCTTTGTTTATTTTACACTTTGAAATTTGTCCGGGACATGACTTTGAAACAACAAGAGGTATCAACATGAAACTTTGTAGGTAGATAGATCTCATTGAGTAGGTGTGCAGTGCACAAGAACCGTAACTCTGCCTTGCCTAATTTTTGAATTATCCCCCTTTGTTTATTTTACACTTTGAACTTTGTCCAGGACATAACTCTAAAACTATAATAGGTATCAACATGAAACTTTGTAGGTAGATAGATCTCATTGAGTAAGTTTGCAGTGCACAAGAACTGTAACACTGTCTTGCCTACTTTTGGAGTTATTGCCCTTTGTTCATTTTGACACTTTGAACTTTGTCCGGGACATTACTCTAAAATAATAAGAGATATCAACATGAAACTTTGTAGATAGATAGGTCTCATTGGGTGGAAGTGCAGTGCTTAAGAATCATTACTCTGCCTTGCTTTATTTTGAAGTAATTGCCCTTTGTTTATTTTTACTTTTTGACTTTTGTCCGTGACATAACTTTAAAACTATTAGAGATATCAACATGAAACTTTGTAGGTAGCTGGATATAATTGAATAGAACTGCAATGCTTAAAGAACCTAAACAACGCCTGGTCTAATTTTGGAGTTATTGCCCTTTGTTCATTTTTACACTTTGAATTTTACCCAGGACATAACTCTGATATCATCAGGAAACTTTATAGATAGATAGATCTCATTGAATAGAAGTGCAGTGCAAAAAACATAACTCCGCTTTGCCTAATTTTGGAGTTTTTTGCCCTTTGTTCATTTTTTTTATACTTTCCTGTGTCCAGAACCTTCTCGGGGAGCATCACCCGGTTCAACCGGTTCTTGTTTTTGAAAGCTGTTAACTTATGTTGTTTTTTGCGAATTAATGTATGCTTATACAATAAAAAAAAAAACACCTTCTAACAGGCTTTCCTAGATAGCTAACCAGTAGTTATCAATTTCGATGAAAATGACACGACTACCAATCCCACATGAATTTATCATCATCTGTGAGAGACAAATGACTGAATATCCAAGATCAGTTGTCTCGGAGAAATTTCACCTCACCCAAGGATCAAGCGATAGACCGCTAGATTACTAATCAAATGCTCTCTTAGTTGAGCAAATGCGTGGACGCTCATTGATGTACTCATTTTATAAAATATTCAAATCAGAATGGTGTTGCAACTCAAAACAACTTTGGCTGTATTTGTGAGATTAAAGGTCATAATTATATACAAATAAGAGTGAAGTGTATTCGGTACATCCATTTTATAAATGCCCATCTTAATAGCCATCAAAGATGAATGTTTTTATTCAATAAATTTGTGAAACTTCTTCTAATTAGCTGGCATTGGGAAACAATTGCAGTACTAAAAAGAGCCTGATTAAATCTAATATTAAATTATTGAAAGGCCCGCTGACACTTACATAGATAAAGAATGGAACACATGTAAGGTATAATATAAGATGATATTTACTTACAGGTGAATGCCAGTTGTGACTACAGAGATATTCCTCATATAGAGAAGTTTGAGCCGACGTTCAAACTAGCCGGTGGTATTAACTTGCCGAAGATTATTTCTTGTGTTGGATCTGATGGTACCAAGAGCAGACAACTTGTCAAGGTGTCTTACACTGACCTTTTAATCTTCTAATACTAATGTTGACAAATACTGACCTTTTTTAAACGGCAAAGAAAGAGCCTGGCCTGCACATTTATGCAGTTTAAACAGCATCCATGCTGTTGGTTGTTCTATTTTCCTATCTACATCAACAATTTTATATCATTTATTCAATTAACAAATGGACTGTTACAAATTTAAAATTGAGCAGGTTCATTACAAAAAATACATAAAGGAAAAATAGTATTTAGATTTTATATTCTGAAGCTATGCATTAGAAATAGGTGATGTTACAGACAGGTATGAGATAATAAGCTTAAGATACATGCTTGGTTTACCTGTTGTGTTGATAATTGTATGTTTAAAGTCATAGCTTCCTGGTTTTAATAGAAGGCCTAGTTATCACAGAAGGGGAAGTTATTAGTTTCACAAACCTTGGATTCTTTTGGTTTCCATGATTCCGTTTTAAAGATGAAATTTGAAAAAGTCAAAATTTGGCATTTTGCTTGGTTTTCAAAAGATATTAGTCAGAAAGTTTGCAAACTTTATTTTTGAAAAATAGGGTAATTATAAAAGGATCATTTATATGTTAACTGCAAACCTGACTGTGACTGAAACACTTGCTTATAGAAAGAGAATACATTTTTATTTAACTTTGATGACAAGCAATGGCATATATCTAATTGGTATAAATTCTTAATCTCCATTGTAGCAAGTATACATTTTTCAGGATACAGTCAAACCTTAGCGATCATCTGTATTAAGCAGTCACCTTCCTTATTCAGTCAGTTTGAATGCTCCCCAAATTGACCATTTGTTCTGCATATGACCTGACTTAAGCAGGCACCTCCTTTAAGCAGCCACTTTTTGTTACTCCGTTGTTACTCCCTTGACTGGTTGCTTAATGCAGGTTTTACTGTATAGTCAATATGAACAACATTTTGTCTAATTGTTTTAGGGACGAGATGATCTTCGACAAGATGCTGTGATGCAGCAAGTGTTTGATATGGTCAATAATTTACTACAGAAAGATTCTGAGACACGAAAACGACAGTTACAAATCAGGAAATATAAGGTTTCGTTTGCTACAACTCAATTTCCTCTTCTCATGTTATAGGTTATACATTAGTTTATGTTTGAATGTGCTGGAAAATATAAGCTTAATGAAATACTCTCGAAAAGGTTCCGGGAACTAACCAGTACTTTGTGATGAATCAGAATGTTTAGTTTCTTGCTCAAGGAAACAATGGATTCCCCTTGACGTGGTGTGAACCCTTAGAAAACTTGTCCTTCAAGTTAATCATTCAGGCCATGCTGCCTAACTAAAATTTTATTGGTCATATGGTCAATAGAATGAATAATAAAGACGTTATAGCTGAATTTTGTACACTATTGTATGTGATTAAATACATTATTTCCAGCTTTAACATGTAAAAGTGTTATAACTTACATGTATATAGTGTTATAGCTTTTACATTTATATTGTTTATATATTTGATACATGTGTCTGCTGTTAACGTTTAGGTTATACCCCTGTCTCAGCGAAGTGGTCTTCTAGAATGGTGTGAGGGTACATTACCAGTGGGCGAGTACCTGGTTGGTAGTAAAGGGGCTCATGCACGCTACAGACCCAAAGATCTCTACTATATTGACTGTAGAACTAAACTGACCGTGAGATATATTACATTTTCCTGATTATTTTTTAATTGAATACAAAATAGAAGAATAAAGTTAACGATAATGCCATATATGATTAATGAAATTATCATATAATTACGATGGATATTTATGGAAATTTCCTTGGAACACTTTACTTATTTATCGTTCATGCGAAGTTAGTTTAAAATAATTAAAAGGAAATATGGCAAAGTGCAAACTTATTTTGAATCACCTGTTGAACATTCACTATATAACCTTGTACAGTAAAAACTCTGAAAACCGGACCCTCTCCGGACTTGACCAAAAGTCCGGTTTTCAGAGGATTCCGGTTTTCATAGGTTTTATACATTTATTGATAATTATGATGTGTTTGAACAATGACTTTGTTTAAACATTTTGTATTTACTTTTTAGCATTTTTGACTAAGTCATATTTTAATTTCTTTTAGCAATAAATAACTTAAGTAATTTTATTATGCAAATCCATGAATATAATTCAGAAAATCAGAAATTAAAACAACACATTGTCTGAAATATATCTTTTTAATTGGCTTTTGAAATATGTAATCAATGGAATTTAGTATTACTATTTTTGCATATAATAAATATCCAAACAAAGATCAAAATTTTTAGCAAAACAGGAATCATTTTACAAAAGTTTCTTATTCTTTTAGACATTTTATATTTAAAGAAGAAAAAACACACAACAAATTAAAAACATTTAGAAAAATCATACCTATACAGGGAAAGGCACAATTATAATGAAAGAGCTATAATTTAATTGCCAATAAGAAATTAACACACACTAACAAGTGTTTTCACACCTGCATAGATAAAAAAGGTGATCATTAACTGGTAATTGAACATGTCACCTGTTGAGATTATGTTTTAATATACTTTGAAATACACAGAAAGTTGACACTTAAAATTGCTGTCCGGTTTTCAGAGGATTTTTTATGCATGTTTAGCATTAGAAGCCACAGAAAAGCGTCCGGTTTTCGGAATTCAGAGGTTCCGGTATTCAGAGGATTTTTTTTCAATGAACATATAAGGAGAAAATACGGGACTTTTGAAATGGTCTGGTTTTCAGAGGATTCCGGTTTTCAGAGGGTCCGGTTTTCAGAGTTTTTACTGTATAGGTATAATGTTACTTTAAATCAGTGATTATGTGTATTCTCAGGCTGCAACAACAACAGAGGGTAAATACAAGGTTTATCAGGAGATCTGTGAAAAATTCCAGCCAGTGTTTCGACATTTCTTCTTTGAGAAGTTTACATCCCCACCAGTATGGTTTGAGAGAAGACTGGCATATACAAGGAGTGTAGCTACCAACTCTATAGGTCAGTTAAAGTCTTGTAAACAATGACATTCAGTATCATCCTTCTTTGGGTACTTTTATGAAGACCTTTCTTTGGAAGCCTTATTTTTGGCACTAAGATTGTTCTGTCAGTAGTTTTATTAAGCAGTTGCTCAAATAATTATATGAACAAGCTTGATAGGATAATGACAATATTATAAATCACAATTATATCTATCTTTTTTTGGACTGGAGAATAGCAAAATGTATGTTATTGCATTAGTTTCTTGGACTTCTGGACCTCTACACAGCTTTAATTGTAATAGTCTACCATTGTCTAGCACATTATAATGCCTCACAAACAAATAAATTTTTACTTCTTTAGAAAGGCCAAACATGAATTTTACAATGTTTTAAAAATGGCTTTAGATATTATTAGATGCTTGTTACAGTACATAATACTGTATTCCTAGAAATGTTCGCGGATACAATATTTCGCGTTTTTCACAACGTCAGCATTTTCGCGGAGACAAACTTTTGCGGATTTGTAGTAACCGCGAATTCCGCGAATATTAAGTCGCTACAACCTAAATTACAGTTTTTGAAGGCTATGTTTTGGATGCATGACCTTGCCTGTTGGGTACTTTTAATTCTTTTTTTGACAAGTCGCGCCTAAAGCGCGACGTTACTCGATACCTTTTCATCTATTGACTAGTCGAACACGGACGGTTGTTCCGTGAACACTTTTATATTTCCTTACCTTTTTCACTATGTGATTAAGTAAGATTTAATCTCATTTGAATTATAACTGACTTTATCTTCAAAATGTCGATACGTATTTTTACACAGTATCGGACTGTACATCATATTATAACATCATTCATTATAACAACATAACAGCTGTTATCAAAAGTAGCACTAGTGTACTTTTAACAAAGGATTACACCTACTCCAAGCAAATAAAATCCAAGTCATTCAATGTACGCAAACTGTAAATGCATTTGTCAACGCCGTGACTAGCGAATAACGTCAATAAGCATGATAATTACTAATAATTGATATTTTCTTTTCCAGCATGCAAACTAGTGTCAAAAATATACATAAATAATTCTTTACACATTTCTATAGCACCTGTGTTTATATGTTTTTTTGCGTAAGTAGATTATAATAAATATTCTGCATGTTTATGTTATATTTGGTTGAAGCTAGAAATGTTCGCGGATTTGTTATAATTGACATATTCGCGGCTATAAAGATTCGCGGAACCATGCCTACCGCGAAAAGCGCTAACTTAAAACACTCAAAATCTTTTCTAGGAATACAGTACCAGAAAGCAACAGATAAAAAAAAGATGGTTTAGGTAAATGGCAATTGAATAAGTAACTTTTTGGATACTATAAAAGTGAACAAAATTAAAAAGTTTTTGAGATATAAAAATAAATGTATTTCTGAGGCATAATGGGCCACCTCAGAATATTAATGATATCTCTATTAAAGTGAAACCAAAACTACATTGCCTTTTTTAAAGAAGAAAAAAAAGATTTATAAATGAGGTTATGTACCTTTAAGTCATACGTTAGTAATTGTTACCATGTTATTTTACAGTGGGATATATTCTTGGACTTGGGGACCGCCACATACAGAATATTTTGATTGACTGTAAAACAGCAGAACTGGTACATATAGATTTAGGTATAGCTTTTGAGCAGGGTAAAATCCTACCCACCCCAGAAACTGTTCCATTCAGACTCACCAGAGACATTGAGGACGCCATGGGTGCATCAGGGGTGGAGGGAGTGTTTAGAAGGTGGGTTTGATTGAATTTTATCATTCACAAAGCTATCTAGCATTCAATATAAGAGTAATAATTAATGTTTTTGTGTTTACTCTTGGCATTTGTGATTCTTAATGATTGTCAGGGATTATATAAAGGTGCTTGGTTGAACTTAATTTTATGTATAGAGAGGTAGTTGGGATTTGCTACCTTAGGGGAAGTTTGAAATTTCCCTTTTGTTCTAAAATGTAGGCCAAACACATGAAAGGCTCATGTAAGGTTGTTGGTTTTTTTTTTCTTCTCCAATGATTTGTTGTGTTCAACTTACACAACAACGTAAGGTCAAGGTCACACTGGAATGTTTATAACGATGCTTCTATTTTGTTTCTGCTTGTTATCTGATAAAAATTTGGTCAAATATTCACCATAATGTGTTGATAGGATGACTGTGTTATGAAGCAATGCAGGCTCAATATGAAGGTCTAATTTAAAGGTCATACCTTCATTCTGGAGTGGCCATACCAGCTCACTGTTAATACAGCTGGAAAAATTAAACAATCATCAGGATGAAACTGTTTTTAGGATATGCATGTGTGACGGAAATGTGCTTTGTAGTAAATTTGATTGCCTCCCCTTGTTATAAGTTCGCCGTTTGCATCCAAATAAAAAATACAGTTCATTCGTAAATTTAATTAGATAGCGAGAGTAGGTATTTTAGTTGTTTTTACCGTCAAATAAATATAAGTTAGGAGAATCATCCAAAGTGTATATATTTTGAATTGTTTCTTTACTCACAATAATTTGTATGGAAATTTACTTCAGATGACAGACGCTTATAATGTTTAATTAAAATCAGTTTCAAGAAAACGTTTTATTATTTTAGCCAATCAAAATCATTGTTTTAATGACTGCGGAGATGATGCTTCACAAGCATATAAATAGAGGGTGTTCAGTGTAAAAAATCAGTGTGGGGCCTCCGTGGCCGAGTGGTTAAGGTCGCTGACTTGAGATCACAGGTCCCTCACTGCTGTAGGTTCGATCCTCACTCGGGTCGAAATCTTTCATGTGAGGAAGCCATCCAGCTGGCTAACGGAAGGTCGGTGGTTCTACCCAGGTGCCAGCTTGTGCCTGAAATAATGCCCGAAGGGGCACCTGGGGTCTTCCTCCACCAATAAAGCTGGAAAAAAATCTCGGCGGGACGCTCTAGGATGGCCCGACTTGAGTGTACGGTCGCCTATATGGGCTTTCCGGCGGCGACCTTAAATAAACGCATTAAAAAAAAAAAAAATCAGTCTGGTCCTGTCCGTTGGAGAGTGGAAACGAGGTCATAAATACTTACTAGTACAAAGAAATCTTAGATTTCTGGTACTAAGGACGTTTTATGATTTCTGTAAAATTCATTGGGCATAAATTATTTTAAGAAATATATTTTTGGTTAGTTTTGGTTTTGGCTCCGGACCGTTAACATCGAAGTTTTAATTATATTTACTAGTAGCCAGGCATCTTAGATACTGGTGCTAAAAATATCTTTACTTCTTCAGAAAATATTTTATGATTTAAATAGTTAATCTGCCTGTTGTCCTTGTAAGAGTTGGATATAGGTGATATTGTATTTACTAGTACCCAGACATCTTAGATACTGGTGCTAAAAATACTTTATTGCCTAAGTAAAACCTCTTGGACAAATGTTTGATAGAGAATAGTGTATTTGAAGACATTATTTGAAGAATTGGTTTTTGAATGTTTTATGATAAGAGATTGTTGATTTGAAACATTAAAGTAAGAAATAAGAGATAGGTTTAGGAATGTAAATTTTAGTTTGTTTGAAAGTAAGTGTAAATAGAGTTTAATTGCTTCTTGGATAATTTAAGAATTAGTTGAAGATTGTTATTTTTGCATTTTATTATTTCTAGAGTTTTTATTAAGTTGATATCTAATCAAAAGGTTAAGAAACCACAAGGAAAATTTATATTTGAATATTTCAAATCATTTCGGATAAGTATCCCAAGAAAAATTATATATTTGCATTTGTGATTTAAAATCATTTTATCTTGTAGCCATAGATTTAATAACCAACAGCTCGGTACACGCTACACATGTACATGTACCTTTTCACTGCATTATATATTTTATTGATTGTACATGAAATATTAATTGGAATATAGAATTAATTATAATTTCATTACTGTATTATTTTATTTATAAAACTAAAACCTTTGTTAAATTAATGTCTTTGTTTATACATATATTTAAAGAAATAAACAAATTAATGATGTTAGAAAACTTATGATAAAGAAAAGAGTAAAAATATATTTCTGTTATTAATTAATAACCCCCAGATGTTGTGAGAAGACAATGGAAGTAATGAGAAGTAATCAAGAAGCATTGTTAACAATATTAGAAGTTCTCCTGTATGACCCGTTACATGTTTGGACAATCTCGCCGGCGAAGGCGTATGCTCTTCAGCGACAGAGAGGGAGGGAGGAAAGCGGTGATACTGTTGACGTTGCTAACACGACGGCTGATATCATAGATCTTGCTGAATCAAGTACATCAAGAAATAGTAAGTGATGTTAAATCTACATTTATTAATGATACTATTGATAGCATACATGTAGGTAGTATGGGCAAATGTCGACTAAAATAGTGTATATAATTTCATCATCCGTGGTGGCTGGTTAGTCGTTTATAGATCCTAGAATACCCTTCTAATTTACAAATAGTGGAAGAACTGTACTTATTCATTATTAAAGACTGGAAAAGGTTGAATTTTCTTTTAATGTTGTAAAATTATATTCAATGGGATTTTGTTATGTAATAATAAAATTGATAGGGAATATATCAGCTTATGAAAGCAATATTATATGGAGGGAGCTAAAGCTGTGGAATTCAAAATTTATCGTTTTGCCATTATTTTTAGCACAATTCATCAAAAATGGTAAAGTATATAATTATGTATGATGTACATGTACGTACAATGGAGTCAGTTTTGACAGTTATGTTTTATCAAAGAATAATATAAAGTTTTACTAGAAGTGTGAATTAGTGTTACTTTGGATCATTATAAGATTCACATGACAAAATAAGTATGACATATTTTAATATTATCCAGGTGAGACACAGGAGAACCTGAACAAAGTAGCGGAGCGTGTACTGTTGAGGTTACGTCAGAAACTCCAGGGGGTAGAGGACGGTGTTCAACTTAGTTTGTCAGGCCAGGTGAATTACCTTATACAGGAAGCTAGAAATCCGAAAAACCTTGCTAGAATCTTCCCTGGCTGGCAGCCTTATGTATGAACTTTGCTGATAGATTTTGTGAAATTAATTTGTTTATTCTGGTCAACGTTATTGTTTGGAATGCAATGAACTTGTGATAATGCATTAGCAGAGTTGAAATCTTAATTATCATGTTTAGAATATTTATAGTACAGCAGAATCAGATTTTGAGAGAACTTGTTTTACATTGTCATTTGCTGCTGAATATTATTTTTAGTTAATTACATGAATATATGAACTAAATGAATGTCAATTGTTTTAGTTCTAACGTTACCTGTTTATGTTTTGCTTCATATATAACCATCATACTGTGTTCAGTTTATAAATATTTGTATGTTACATTTTGTTGTAATAAATGATCAAAAGGAAAGCTGTAGTCTTTTTTATTGCATTGAATTCAAAAAAAATGTATATTTACTCATTCTGGAACTTATTTGACCTTTGGGATAGTGGGGCTTTACTCCCTTTGAAACTCTTCTGCATGATACCATGTGGTCAGTGTCATGGATGTTAATTTTAGTATTTTATCTGATGCTTGCGTAACGTACGCTTATTAGCAGACATTCACCAATACAAATTTCAATCGCATGCCATGCGTGGACATTAAGTTTACTTTTCCCGCGACTAACTAACGAACATTGCATAGCAAAATGAACAATTAACATAACAAATAAATCGACCCGTGACACCTCAATGGGAGGCTGTTGAGATATTTGACTGCAATAAAGTATGATAAAAACTGAAATTTTTATCATTTCACATGTATGTTCTTTTACAAAATACATGTGAATGTAACATTTTGTGTATTTATTTAAAACTAGGACTAAAATGTATCTTTCTGTTCCAGTTTAAAATGATGAAGCAATTCATGATTGGAGTTACGACATTAAAATGTTTAAAAACAGGCTATCAAGTAATGCATTGAAACAAAAAAACTATTTGTGATGTTTTTTTTTAACCAGAAAGGTTTGCAGCACAAAAAAATGCAGTGTCTAAAAATGAGATGTTTATACATTTACCCTTTACCTAAATCGGTTAACTAAAGTTTGCGATGACCCGGCCAATTGATTTGAATTTCGTCAAAAATCAAAAGGTCTATAGGCAATGTGTTTCATATCTTACATAGACTTCGACTACGTTTATCAAATCACAACGTACTTTTTATATGCGTGAAAATGGGCCCTGTCTCGGTATTCTCTAAGAAGTTAAATTGTTCTTTTTTTTCTTTGAAATAAAGGTGTTAAAACAGATTTCATGCAATCTTATGTATTCCTTTCTTTTCTTCCTTTTGGCTTTCACAAAAGATTTATTTTCTAAATTAAATTAACAATTCATGGGTGAAAGTTTTCATGATTTCTGAAGTTCAGGATTTTCAGTCTCCTGAAAGCCTTCTATTTTTTATGTAAAACTATAGAAAAACTACTAAATTCAGGATTTTCAGGAAAATTTAAATTTCCAAATTTCACCTCTTGTTTAAGGTTGTCCAATAAACTTAACAATTTTATTTTTTATGACTCGTCATCCCAATTTGTGTCCTAGTCTCTACTTGAATTAGCAATCTCCCTTGCTTTACAAATAAACTTTATAATGTGATAATATAATGTTGGTACAGGTATCTCATAGTCGACCAAACCATATAATGGTATGTCCTACTACTTAACATTTTTCAACCGTGTCAGGGCCCCCAACTAAATGATCCGGTTAAATCACATCTTGGGCTAAAAGATTTGATTTTCATTACACTGTCAAAAATTTTGTAGCTGATTCATTCTTTTCCCAATCAATCTGACTAAAATTAAAATCATTAAAACGAAAGAGTACAATTTGTAAACACAATTTGATCAATACTAGCACATATTTTCAAACATGTATCGTTTATCTTTTCTTAGGCCTTTAACAAACTCTTATTGTAACTGATACCTGGTGTCAAGTGTTGTGTGGCAGCCGTAAAAAGTTGTCCCGTATCACTTCAGTGTTCTATTTTTCTGGTCCTTCGGGATCATTGAGTCCAGCACTCTTAAGTGTTGAGAATTGAGTACCGCTCAAGCCGGTGCTACGGGCGTGATCGAGGGATGTCGCACTTTACCGTACTGACTCCATCAAACCGAGTCTGTAATTTTCATGTAATTTTGCTTTTTTAAATGCTTTCAAAGAGGTATTTTTTTCCAGATATTTATCCTTGAAGAATGGAAGATCAATAAATATAGTTCTAATTTCTCTCAAAATTTTCATCCTCACAAATACGGATTGGGGGGC